CTGCGTGAAACACACAGTAGTATGAAACTTCAACTGCGTGAAATACACAGCAGTATGAAAATTCGGCTGCGTGAAACACACACTTCACGCATGCGTGGAGTGTATGGAGTGTACGGGAGTGATTCACGCAATTGTGCGAATAGTCACGGCCATTTTAATTTCGCTTTGTTCGGTTAAAACGCGGTTCTCGCTACTTGGGACATAAAATATAATTTTAACCGTAAAACCGCGATTTTAACATCGATTCCCTGAATTAAATTGCTGTTTCCGGGCTCAGAGACATAAAATATTGTATGTCACACGATGAAACTCAAAAATATGGGCCTCATACTTCATAAAACAGTCACAATTCGCCACTTTATTATTTGGAGCCCCCGAAGAGTCCAGTTGGACCTGAAAAGAACCATTTTGTTCTGAAGAGTTCAAAGAAGCTACCAAAAACAGTTGAATCACTTTTGTCATTTAAGAATGCCGAATGAAACAAGTTAATGTCAAGACAAAAGATGATGACGCGCCGAATTCAATCGAGATCAATAAATAATGAGACTGACCTTTACGAGGTGAGACCCTGCAGACTTATCACCCTCGCGAGGTATTATCTTCGCTACGCGTCCGTGAATCCCTGCCTACGTCCGGAATGACGAAAAATATCTTTCGTCATTTTCTTATGGAATCATTCATCATCAAAATAATTCTATATTGTAATATCTCCCTGCCCTCTTCCTACTTCATCCTTAATTTTGCATTAATTTCCTTTCAATTGCACCTGCATTTATCAAACCTGTAAATTTCCTTTTGCTTCCTTCTGTCAACACGTCTTAATGACAAAATTTTCCCTACCCCCATCCATCCCGTGTCATTCTCCACAAAGAAAAGTTCCACTCCTCTACAGAATTCGTGTGACACCAATTTTTTTACACTTCAAAGGAAAAAAGTAACTCGTCTATTCCTCCACCACTTCTTTACTACTCGACCCATTTTTCGGGACATTCCAATGATTTATGAAAGGTGCAAACCGCTTCTAAGTAATTCCCAACGAATATAAGAAACCCGAGAAATTCGTCGCGGCTCGATAAAGCCTCGGGCTAATCTGTAGAATCCGTTCGCGTGTATTTTCAGCGATTTTATCAGGGGAAAAATAGCCCTCTACGCTTCTACCCGGGTATTTTCACTGGAGCCGACAAAAGTCGCATGCAGAAACCCTTCGGCAATGCGCAAATAATTGTAATTTCCGTCGAGTAATAGAAAGGGACTCCTCATTGACTTGTCCCTTAATTATGCGCTGATTCTTTTTCCCCTCTCAGTCACGGGGATCAACTGTGCAGGATGAAACATAGCAGACGTATCGTGAACTTTTTGCCCCTACATGGCTCGGTTTGCGTGTCAAGCGTTGGCTGACCCAAGAGGGATAGAGATTATCGACCCCTCAGCTTGACCGTCTTAACTTACCCCCTTGGGGTAACACACTTTGAATCCTCCTGAAAAGCTATGCAGGGTACTTTGCATATTCCCGTTATCCATGGTGCCATTTCCCCGGGCAATGCCTGATTTTGATTCATTTATTCCTTTCACCTGAATTCAATTTTTTTGCGGTGGAAAAAAATCAGGGGCCGGGGTGGAAGTTCCGAGGATTAGGAGAATTTCTGGAGAATATCTCAGAAAGATGAAGGAAGCCAATTTATTTTTGAAGGTTTCAAAATTGTGTATTTCTGGCACTTTACATTCGATAGGTTTTTCTATTAAATTTTTTTGTCCGTGATTTGACTTTGCTCGCGGATTACGTTTCGAAACGTAATTTTTACTTTTTTTTCTGGAAATTTTTATTGAATTTTTCCCTCCGTGTCAATATTTTCTGAGAAATTCCTCCGAACAATAATGGATTGTAATGAGACAATATTTCTTTAGTAATTCTCCACACAGAACAACGCAATAGATATTGCCTCGCGCAATTGAAAAAATAATTTGAAGGATGACTTTTAACATCATTCTAATAAGTTAATTTGAATTATCAAGGGTAAACATTCGCCCAGAAAAAAAGGGGAAAAATATTGCAACAAAGAACTTGTTAGGTAACTGTTATTAACCCCTTTCACAAAAAAGATAAAGTCATAAAACATATGCCATGAATAGCCCCGCCAGAGCAATTCGTCCTAATTGAATGATTTTTTCCTCCACAAAAACCAAACCGACAGATTTTAGATACTAATTCACGAGGTCACACATTCCACGCTATTTTTCCACAGAGTATAATAAAAAATTCTGTCCCCAATGGCTTACCCAACGAACCGTGCATCGTCACGACAATAGTCACAATTGTTCCCCCAAATCATTAGCATTTCCCATCACGCCATACAAATAGTGTAATTACGAATCTACGAGAATAATTTCAGTCTTCAATAGTTCAAAATGATATTAGGGACTTCGACGAGTGTCGTAGCGATGTTTCAACAAATAGCTAGTCGTGTCACTGATGTACACCCCGGCGGAGCTGTTAACTAAATCAAGAGACTTAATAATTGAAGCAATTCTTAATTACGGGGGAAACGACGGAGAAGAGTCTCCGAGTCTGATCGATTTATTCCGCACAGTTGGAGGCCGAAGTTATATTTGAGATTATCTTCGGGAGATTGTTGGGTCAGACAAGAGGGCAGTTGATATACACGAGGGCACACGTCAAGATGTAGAGCAGCAATAGAGCCCATAAAAGATTTTAAAATAGAATATTCCCTCACCCTAATGTCCTACTTTACTTTAAGACTACAGAAAATTTTTAACAAATTCTTGACCGAAGAGAAGTTTTGAATTTATTATTTGAGCACACGCACACGAGGAGAAAATTCTGGCAAAAATTAGGGTGGCATTCACCAACCGATCGGACCGAACAATAATCACCAAAAAATTCAGATGTGGCACCCGACTTTTTAAGGGAATCCCTCGAAAAAGTAGCGCAAGGTCCTCAAAACCTGTAGCACACTAATTTTTTAAGGGAATCGCACGGATTTGTCAGGTATTTTTCTCTCCGTGCATGAAAAAATTCAATAGTAAAATCCAGCGCTTTCCTCACGAAATAGTATTCAATTTCTATTGGAACTCTATAAGAATTCTATTGAACTTCTATTAAAATTCTGTAAAAAAATTAATAGATATTGATTTTCTTATAGAAAAATCTTTGACATCAATTTTCGGGGCATAAGTTTTTTCCGCTGTATTTTTATTTTTCTTTATAATAAAATCCAAGACAGAAAAACTTGAAAAATCCACCCCCAAGAATTCTTAGAGAAGAATTCTTTGTAGTTGCGCATAATTTTTAATAAAATTGTCGCAGAATAAAAAACAAATAGACTGTTGCAATAGAAATTCTTAGAGGAAGCCCTGGGTCTTCCCATTAATTTTTTTTAACATTCCCTTCAATACTATTTTTCAGTTTTGGCGTTTCACTTACATTGATAAAAAATAAATCAAGAGCTTTAAATGCTGAAAATAGAAAACAAAATGAAAAATAAAAGCACGAAGAAAGCATTTTCCTCATAAAAAGACCATTAACTAAAGTTTCATGACGACTTCTCTATTTCTACGCAAAATTAACTCCAACTTTTACTTTATAATGCTGGAAGACACGTAAGCCATTTACAATTTCCCCTAAATAATTGAAAAATGGATAGAGCTGATGAGTTGGAAGTGGATAATTCCCATATTCAGTCCGACAACTGAAGCCCTGAATTAATCAAACCTAGAAATGTCAGATCTGAAATAGAAATTATAGACGTTGATATGCAAAGGTCGTGAGGACCTGTTAAAAATTTAATATGACAAATGATCTGTCTGATGGGCATCGATTAGCGAAGAAAGGAGAGGGAGAGACTACCCTTTTTTCCCCACCCTTTCTCAGCCGACTCTAGGAGTTAAACACCTGGTCAACCTGGACTCCACTCGCCTGGACGATACTTTTACCGTGTACAAAACTATCGCCCCACGTTTTCTCCTGTAAATTCACGAGTCAGTACTTCGGCGTAACTCGAAACGGTAGGATCTCGTGTACATTTGAGCAACTGTGAACGTGTGCCTGGAAGGGTAATCTCGATAAACAATCAGTGGAATAACGTGCATTTTCTTTCGTTCCCTCATCGATTTTTTTTTTGAAAGACAGGAGTGGGAGTTTGTTTCAGGTCATTTTCCGGTGGTTTTTTAAATGTTTTAGAGCTTAATTGTTTCTAGGATGAAACAGAACTTGGAGTTGCCTGTTTAAAGGTATTGGAAATTGCTCCGGGGAGAACTATTCAGACAAGAATTTTGGTGAGTGATTTTTGAGAATTATTTCTTACAAATAGAGCAATAAATACTGCTCTGTTCGGGACTCATTCATTTTTTTTCGCTTTGAATGCCTGATCCAGTCTAATTGCTCCATTCCCTGCGAACGTAACTCTTGCGTTCCTCTATTTACACATGCCGGTGATTCCCCGACTTCGTAGATCCTCTTCATGCACTACATGCTGACGCGAAATAAAATATAGACGTATTTTTTTAAATGAAATTCACTTTCGCTCTCATTATTATTAGTTTGTTCTACATATTCTGGGGGGGGGGTCGGTGTGAGGGGCATTGAGTAAAGAAATGAAGAAAAAGAAAACGCACGTACGTTGTGGTAATCCCAGAGTCAAGGCTCTTACCTTGCACTTAAATACTGTGCGCAACCAGTGAATTATTCAGAGATACAGAGTTATTGGGAACTAGATCCGACACACATCGACGATGTGCGTGGGTTTTCAAAACAATTTTAGAAAAATCAATTTTAGTGTATAAGCACGAGCATAAGATAATGCGGCTAATTGATGGTGTCAGCGAATGTTGAATGGAGTTGTTGAAAATGTTTTCCTTCTTCATAGAAACATTCCTTGGATTTTCTCGGTTTTGTTTCAATATCGAGTTTATTATTACGTTTTGGTATTGACAGACCCCCATTGCAGGTATTGAAACGAGCACAATTTATGTGGATAGAAAACCTGAGGGGTTTCACTAGTATTTAAATGCGTTGGCTGAAAAATCAATTCGTAAACTACTTCAGTGGATTGTTTAGCTTCTTAACATTTTTATGAGAACTTTCGTTGTCATTTTTTATGAGGTCATAACCACTTCATTAGAGGTAATTGCTGTCGTCAAATGTCGGAAGATTTTTTAAGTGTAAATATGTATTCTTTTATGAAAACAAAACAATGCATTAGGTTTTATTTTGAGTAAATGTAAACTCTGTCATTATTTTTTGTTGCGTTAGGGTCGGAACTAATGAAATGTTTATCGGTAGAAGTGAAGAGCGCATTTGAGAAATCTTGGACATTTTTTCTAAAAAATGAAGTGCATTCATTGAGAATTATTGATACTGAATTATTCATTCTTTCGATATGTCTATTCCGAAGTTTATTGTGACGTTCTTCGCAATTTCATAATACAATTGACTGTCATCCAACATTGAAATGAATTTTTTGAAAATGCTACTATAATTTTATTTTTATGAAGAAAAACCGTCCGTTTTCTCCAGCTGAAGGAATATAAACGTCATGATTACGTCTTGTTACATTACATTTGAAAAAAGTGGAATGTGTATAGATAGAAATCAAGAGTATATTTGAGAAATCTTCAACATTTTTTCTAGAAAGTCAAGTGTATTAATGGAAAGACTGAATTATTCATTTTATCAATATTGCGATTTCGACATACGTTGGGATGTTCTTCGCAATTTCATAGTGCAATCGACATGCATCGAACCTCGAAATGAAGTTTTTGAAAATGCAATTATAATTTTCTTATTTTCATGAAAGAAAACCCTCCATGAATTTTCTCAATTTGAAGAAACATAAACGTCATTATTACATTTTGTTCCATTACATTTGGGAAAAGTGGGATGAGTATCGATCGAAACAAAGAATGCATTTGAGAAATCTTGAACCTCTTTCCTAGAAAATGAGTTGCATTCATTGAAGGGTTAAATTATTCATTCCATCAATATTTCGATTCTGACGTTCGTTGCGATGTTCTTCGCAATGTCATAATGCAATCTACTTTCATCAAATGGCGAACAGTAATTCGATAATGCAATCCACCGTCATCGCACGTGAAAATAAAGTTTTTGAAAATGCAATTATAATTTTATTTTTATTTTTAAAAAACCCTCCATAAATTTGAAAAAATGTAAGCTCTATAATTACGTTTTGTCATTAACGAACCACAACTTTCCGCGCGAGAACCGAAAAGTGTCGATAGAAATCCAGAAAAGACTCGAGAAATATTGAACATCAGCCCCACAGAGTCAATTGCATAAACCCTAAACCGAATTGTTTAGTCCTCAAACGTTTTCCTTTAATCACGTCGGTCACGATGTCATAATCCCCATCATCAAGAACGAAAGGAACATTGTAACATCACTCTCCCAAGAAAACCACCGTAAAAAACTACATCCCACTAATTTCATACAATTTGTTTTCTATTTCTGATTATTACGAGTGTCGGATTAATGAACAAACGCCGGTTGCCTTTTCACGCGACTCATGGTTCAGTGGCCGCACATGGGTGCACTCAGGTGTGGTCTTTGTTGTGTTTTCCTGAGTAGGAAATGCCCGGAACTGGACATCTCGCATGAGCAAATTCTACCCGATCCGAAACAAGAAAAAATTCCATCCGTTTGAAACATCAATCCTCCCTCCGCTCTCTCTACTATTTATTCCAGGACACGTCACCTTGTGCGCATCGGGGATTTGCTTTTATTTTCTTCGCAGATGTGCAGACGAACTCAGAAATTGCGCAGAAATTTTTTTTTCGCGTATTTTGCTAAACTAGGCATTATTTAATATTATTCAAATGATTTTAATAATTTTATGTCCTTAACGATGATAGACGACTAAATTTCGTTGTAAGACACTTCGTCGTCTTGCTTATGCATTTTTATAAACAAATGAAAATTTGCATTTTCATTTGTTTAAGGGAATGTGTGTGGGGATTTGTTTATAAAAATGCATAAGAAAGGACAAATTAAATAGATGCAGTGTTTGATGAATTTTATAAATAAAAAACAGAACAGTTCCTTCCAAGATTTTTTCAATTGATTGGACACAATATATAATAAACAATTTAAAAAAATGATAGGTAGTCTATATATTTCGTCGCTTCATTGATTATTTCTCACGGCATTTAGATTCTACAAGGAGTTGGATATTTCTAAAACGATACATTATTCAACGAAAGCTCTTGACTATTCCCAATTAGTTTTTGATTACTTTCCTCGTCCTTGAATATCACATTGCGATACATTAATTCTTCAAACACTATAACTCAACGGAATAGATCGGCGACAGAAAATATTTCGTGAACTTTTCGAAGCGGACAAATTTCCGCCAGAGGTGTTTGCAGAATTTTTGAAAATTCGCAATTGTGCAGAAAAAAAATTTTCGTGATTTTTTTTTCCACTGGAAATTATTTAATATTATTAATTATTAAAACAATTTTAATAATTTCATGTTCTTATGAGGATTGACGATTAAATTCTATTATATTCACACTGTTTGTAGAATGGTATTTTACGGACACTTCGTAGTCTTTTTATGCATTTTCATTTCCTTATAAAAATTCTATTTCTTATACATTTTTACAAACAAATGAAAATAAAGAAGAACAGAATAAGTTCAACAGATGCACGGTTTGATGAATTTTATAAAACAAAAAGAAGAAAATTTCCTTCTAATTTTTTCAAAACAATTAAGTTTCTCAACGGAATGGATCGTGGACAGAAAACACTTCCTGAACTTTTCAAAGCGGACGAATTGTCTCCGATGCCTGCCAAATTCTCAAAAACCCCATTCTCGTTTTAGCTTATCAAAACAATAAATATGATGATGAACAGTGCCTGTCACTCTCAATCGACCCGCGACCAATGGACTGATCACCCCCATTAAAAGATAAAACATCATAAAAACTTCGAATAATCCTTGACGTTGACATTGCACAGTTAAGAAATTCTACCCATTCTCTTGTGTAAAGACCACAATGTCTGCCTCTAGGCCCGATTATATCTAGTTCTCCAAACTTCTCACCATGAAATATGAATCATCAGCCTTGCGGAATGACCCATTAAGCGTTCTATCGACATTACCATTAAACCGAGGGAAGAAATGAACGCGCGTGTATCCAAGGGATGAACAAAAGACACTAAATCGATACGGCACCTGTTACATTGTAATTGTCTTTAAATCGGCACATTCTCATTTCAGGAGACCCATAGACCGCTGATTTATTCATCGACATGTATTACCAAGCGATTGCGCTCAATCTGGTATTGATAAGTAAGTGTCGTGAATTATTCAGAGTACTTAGAGTCAAGTAATCGAGGAATAAGTCATCACAATTTGGCTTTGCGATCAGGTGTGTCGATCCAAGTGATCGCCTGCGAGGGCTGCAACAAGGAGGACCACCAGAAGTGTGTGGCCCTCGCCGATCCCCTCCTCAAAGATGCGCACCTCATTTTTCCGGACAACATGAGGGACATTGATATGGTCTGCAGGTAGGATATACTATACATAGACGCAATTACGGGGGAGGACAAGCTCTCAGGGTAATTCAACCTGTAATTTTGATGTTTGTTTTCCTTTTATTTTTACTTAATAGGACATGGTCGAGCTTCGTCGACTGCATCAAACGGTATATCGACAGGTGCTTCACGAAGCAACGCAGGGAGCAATTCAATCAGGCGGTGGAGTCGCCGATTGCTTCGGTCCATCAGATGTGTTCTGTTACTTCTTATCAGACTGGTAATTTACTAATTGCGGGTGACGTTACGATTTACGGGCATTTCGTGGGCGCGAAATATTTTTTCAGCACACACTGAGAGACTGGCTCATTTAGTCCGAACGAGATTCGTTGAGTATTAACGAATGGTAGAGTTGAATTTGATCAAGTGAATATTTTATGGAACAGTTGACCTGAAATTTATTACGCTGTTGGAAATTTTTTGTAATTTAAGTAAGAGATACATTTGCATTTTTAATATTCGGAACTTGAATTCAATTTGAGACTGAATAGCTCATGGAATTCCTGAGTCATTTTAGAAATTCAATAAAATTAAGTTTTTCATGATGAATGGTCATTGAATCTTCGGTGGCAATTTTGATTTTCACACCTGTCGCGAAAATCAAGGATTACATTCAATTGAAGTTTCAAGAGATTGAAAATTCAGCAGAAAAGTTGCCTGAATTTTCACGATTTTCAGTCATTTTTATCGTCGTATGAACCTGGGAACTCAAATTTCATTGAATATTCAGGAGAATTGACTGATTTATCAATAATAAGATCAATGGAAATTCCATGTGATATATTTATTAAAAATTTCAAGATTCGTCACTTGAAATTTCAAGAGTAATTTCTTAACAGTGTATTTCCACTGACGTTTCCACCAAATTTTAAATTCCCAATGACAAAATTCGTTGAAATTTCAGTGGAACTATAATACAATGAAAGTTTCCAACAATCATACCACAAATTTTAGTCAAAATTTTTTAAGAACGTAACACAGTTACGTAAACCAGTGGGTTTGAATGCTTCAAAAATAAAACTTGAGTCCATAAAATTCGCTAAAAGAAGGATTCTTTGACATATTTCTGCAAACTTATCCGTTCAAAAAATATTCATACAGGAGAAAAATTCACTATCAAACGAGACATCGTCACGTCAACCGAAACTCCGAATGTCTAAAAAATTTTCTGCAATGAATCTCTTTTGAAGAAAGCTCCAAGCATCGTCCCTTCGAAGATATTGCGCGCAGAATAAGTGCATTCACCCGAGACCCGTTAAATTATCAATTTCAGAGTACCTGCAGTACGCGAGTTGTCTGAAAGCGACCGTTACCGAGGCTCAGCACTGCGGTAATCAGTACACAGCGCTGGTGGATGAGGTCTCCCAGGGGGAAATGGCCCGCAGGAGCCTCTGCTGGTCAGTCAACTTTTACTACCTCTTAAAATATGGACGCAGTTCTTCATAACGTTAAATTCGTGAGCCCCATTTGCGGGATTACATCACGAAATTGATGTTTTATGTCGTTTTTAGTGCTCACCACCACTTCCGGGCTTGCGTCATTACCGAGACGAGGAAGAGATGTGATGGAGGTCAGCCTGGCGGTGCAGCCTCCCGGTTCTCCGGACAGATACTAGACAGGGCTCTGAGCTTCTTGCAGCAGCAATGTCAAGCTTACATGTATGTCACTCTTTCTTTCATTTCTTTAAATCATTTTTACCCATACGATTTCAATTATTTTTTTTTGACTCATTTGTCTCGTAATAATTGATTGAATCAAAAAAACAAACAAAAGAAACAAAAAGGCAAAAATTAAAATTCAAATTATCAAGTCATTTAGATAGATTAGGTAGCCTAGTAGTTTTTATAATACAAGCAACATAAATAATGGTTTCTGTCATGGGTATTATGTTGCGCTGTTCATTGTATTAATTTCATTATTATAGTTGTCTATTTAATTTGATCCTGTAATTGGCTGTGTGCTGTTGGATCTTTATGAATTAAGAAATGAAAATGGAAATGATTAGTTGAATGTTTGAAGGGAAATTTCTGTTCATCTTATATTTTTTTTTGTAAATGAAAAAGGAATTGAAAAAATGTTGAAGAAGGACCGAAACTATTCAAGAATAATAATTGTTATAATGATAGTTTAATAATAATTATTATTGAATTATTCTCATTATTATTATTATTATTATTATTATTACAATAATTCAATCAATTAATTGAAAGATTAATTAATTGAATAAAGTTTTCCTTTTAATTGTTTCGGTATAATAATTGTAATAATGATAGTTTAGTAATTATTATTATTGGATTCCTGTTTAGTTTGATTTTTATCAATTATTAATAAAGTACTGTTGTTTAATTTTTGAAATGTTTTTTTACTTCTAGACCAAATGGTAGCGACTGTCCAGACCCAGTGACCGAGAGTTCCCTGGCTCTTGCGGTGAGTCCGTTAGACGAAGAGCCAGGAAATCGCGGTATCAGCCGACGTCCTTATCAACGAACCCTATCGCCCGACAACTACGCAGGACAGGCCAGCACCTTCCACGGCGCAAGTACAAATGCAATAAACAGTGCGTCATCGTTCAGAAGCACTGGCAGATCGCTAAACGTTCTTCCAAGTAAGGATATATGTGGGGACTTTGTAATGTCTGGATGAGGAAGGTTGAGAGGAGCTTTTGAGAATTATATTGATTAATAGTCATCGAAAGTTGTTTATCATTTTTTAGAGAATGAAGAGCCCGATGTCAGACCACCACCGACACTCGAGGTGTCCAACTCCCAGGTGACGGCGAAGGTGGAGGAGCCTGAGGGGAAGGCTGAGGGGGAGAAGGAAATTTCTACTGTTGGACAGAGCATCGAAGAACCTGGTAAATTCATTCATGACTTTTTTCAAATGGAAACAATTTTTTGGGGTTCGAAAATAATTTTTTTAATTGAAGAAGAATGAAGTAAAACACTTTTTTTATTGAAGAAAGAGATCATAAACTCGAAAAAAATTAAACTATTTTTTTTAATGAAAGAAGAGTGAAGTAACAATGTTTTAGAATTGAAAAAAAAATCTACACAGAGCATCCAAGAACCGAGTAAATTCCTTCTCAATTTTTTCAATGAGAAAAACATTTTTTTAAACTTCAAACAACAATCATTTTCATTTTATTTCATGGAATTGAAGTCCTCCGGCTTTTTCCAAGTTTAAAAACCCCGAAAATCTTTTTTTTATCGGAAAAATAACTCATAACGTCGGAAAATATTGGTGAACAAGTTTTTAAGGCAAGAAGAATGAAACAAAAATGTTTTAGGGTTGAAAGAAGAGTTTGAACGCTGGTTTTTGTGATTTCAGCTGTAATTGTAACCCAACGATCCCCAAGTTACGGGAGAGGAATGTCCTGGACATCGCCCTCTCCAAAAGAAACAACAGAAATCCCAGCCTGGGCTACGAGTACCTGGCCTGAGACCAATAAAGTACGATTGCTGATTTTCTAAACTTTATTTTTCACTCTATTAAATTTGCCCTGCTAATGTAATACTTTTCCCAGGACTCTGTAACAGAATCTTGGTACCCAGCTGCCGGTAGCTTCGGTGGGAACAACATAGACGAGCCGAACCAGCAAGGCCTGAAGAACGGACAAAGTTGTTTACGATCTAAGATAATTCCATTAGTTATTGTCGCTATTGCTTTATATTTTATATGAATGAGGTAAAATAATTGTTATTTTTGTTTCGAAACATTCAACAATCGAATTTCCAAGGGAAATGCGGGCTAGGCAATATTTCATTTCATTTGAACCTAGTGATTAATTAAATCCAATCGTTAATTGGGCAATTTGTTAATTTGATAATGAAGTACTTATTGATCATGTCATTGGAGTAGATATCGTTAGTTTATACGACAGCTTGCCAGATCAGCAGATACGTCTCCTACATATTCAAATGTACATTTTCTTTTTCAACATTTAAATATGAATATTGATTACCTGTATATAATTATGTGATACCAAAGAATATTTTGATTTTATTATCAACAATTTGTTTAATTTTCTTTTTCAGTATTTGTAGGTAGTTTATATAATCAGAGTATATTCTGCACTGTAGTACCGAATTTGAATTGTACATTCAATAAAACCTCTAGTCCATTGACGAGATGTTTATCATGGAATTAAACAACTTTTAGTCATTTTCTTTTTATTCTGTTAATTTTCGTTTAATTGGTTTTAATAATTTATATATTCTTTTTTCTATTAGTCCGAGGCCCCTATTCACTGATAGATACAGATGTGTATAAAATAATGCGTAGGAAATCTGTTGTTTCAAGTGGTGGAGAAAAAATAGATGAATAATTCGAAAAATGTTGTGTAATTTAAACCGCAAATATCTCTGAAACGAATGACCTCTGATAAATTCAAAAAAAATATTCACGAAAATAATGAAGGGATTCAAAGATGTATAGATCACATTTTTGCTCAGTAATTATGAATATTCTCTCAACATCATTCGTTATCGGGACAATTTTACCTCCAAAAAACTATAAAAAATTCACTCGATACGATTAATCTCACCCCTTATCTCTCCACCACTTCGCAACACAAACGAAAAAATCCCTAAAGTATATTTACGCTATATCACTGACGATTAATTGCAAAAATATGCTCTTCAATGAAGAATTATGTACAGGCTCCTTGCATATTTGCATTCTATTCACGAAAAAACACTTCAATCAATTTTTCCTCCATCTACCCTAGATATATATTTATACTCATATAATAATTAATCTTGGCTCAACATGAATTGATTGTTTCAAATAAATAATATTAACCTCCCCCCAAACACATACGCCAATTGTTTCACTGAAACTCTCCGTTCATCTCTGAGAATAATCCAATTTCAATGTTGTTTAATCGCGCTTGTTCCTTTCGATGATTGTAAAAATATTCTAATGGAAGAAACTTTGTATTTATAAACCACTGTTCTACTCAGTTTCAAGATAATCCTCACTCCCCCTCCCCTCCCTTAAATAAACTAATTCAAATAATCTAATTTTCAAACATTTTTAATCATCTCATTTTAATTTCCTACTCCCAGTTAATTCTGACTTAGTGTTATTATTAATCATACTCGACTCTCATAAATTATAAATACAAATACATTGTCACATTTAACTGTTGTGCATGCTTGAAGGATAATCGTCGAATACCCTTGAATTTAACTTATTAATCAAACCTTGTAAGTAGTACTTCATCATTAAAAACTAAACTCTGAGTTTAGAGTAATAACTACTTAGACCTCCGGTGTAATACACTGTATCGAATTGCGAAAAAAAAGATCGTAATATAATGAAAATACGTTAACTTATCAGGATTGATAATTCTTTCTGTTTGACTAGGATTTCTCCTCAGTGGTGAATTTCAATATATAAATATTTATATATTTCGCTAAAAATTCACCTGTTTAATCACTCTTTTATTCAGTATTCATTGAAATTTAATTCTCATCTGATGACAATCAATGCTCCATCGATGAAATAATTTCCATCATATCGGAAAAAAATAGCAAAAAGGTAACAGAATTATACTGCAACACGAGACGTAAGCAGGCACACGTAGGTGTGGCCTCTATTCGTCGTTACTCTTTCTCTAATTCTCATTTTAGTATATACATATGTATATTTGTGAGCACATCACGTAGACTTGAGTTACATACATGATATGAAAAGAAAAATTTACACGTTTTTATTGTGTTTTTGTTTTCATACGCTAGTGCATTAATTTGCTTTTAGAATACTATTGAGTCCTGCGTTTAATGCGGTGATTTAATGAGCTTACCAGAGTGACGTGTCCCCGAAAAAAAATGTCCCACAGGCGTATTGAAAGACTCTCCACCCACGAGGCCACTAACACAGGTTTTTTTTCTCTCGCTCTCTTATGTACAGAAGTGATAATTTATGCATTTTTTTGTGATGGGTTTTCGTTTTTGTTTTACTCGTCCCACTCGTCCTCGTCGGTGTCACTGCTCTCCTCCTCGCTGTCGCCGGTGTAACCGAGCAATCTCGAACGCTCGGCGAGAGCTCGAGATAAAGCACCGGCTAAACCTCCTTGGGGAACTGATGGCGCCGCTGGCTTTGGATCACTTGTCACTGGCTTCAGGGCTATTCCCTCGCGAATTTGATTTAGTAAGTCACTGCGGGTGTCGGTGACTGGGGGTGGCTTCTTCTCGGTTTGATCCACTTTCTGCATGAACAAAAAAAACAGTTTATTGATGAGAATTGATCTATTTTAGTGTGAAAAAATTAAAGTACTGCAACGGGTGAAATTAAATCAGTTTGATATTTCGTAGATAGCTCAGGAAGAAATGGATTTAGAGGAAAATGTGTGAAAGACTGTTTTGTTCAGAATTGTCAAGATTTTGCTTGAAATTTTAAATTAGGCGAGAAAAATTTGAAAAAAATCATGAATCAGCGTCACTCAAATTACGGTTTACAGAGAATTATTATTTTTTTTAACATTCCTCGATTATAAATAAATAATTGAAATTGTTTAAACTTCCGAAAACCCCATTTTTTTAGACATGACATCGGTTTCTGGTAAAATTCTAAATATGAATAAATTTGTTACGATTCCAAACAAATGATTCAAATGAGATTCAAATTCAGACATGCAAAGTTTAAATAGTACAATTATGGATAACAATAAAATAATAAACATGTCTGTTTTAAATAAATAAAAATTTTAAATAAATGTTCAAAGTTTAAATAATGAAACTGTCCGGCAACTTCCAAAAGTAGAAAACCTTTTTACTGGAGAAAAATAACCAAACTACTTGGATATTCTTAAATTAACGCAAGAATTGAAATGAAATTACGTCGGGAATATTTCAGGAAGAAGTGGGTTTAGAGAAAAATCTCTCGCCATTTTTTGTAAAGAATTCCATGAGCAACAGAGAAGATTCATTCAGATCATTCCTTAAACCCATTAGCTTGTAACATTTTCAGAATAACCCACGTAAAATCCATATAAAGCGTAAAAACCACATAAAACCAGATTAATGAATAAATCAATTTGAGATGATGAAAATTTTTTATTTACCTTGAGCGTTGTACCACTTCTAATAGCATCCATAAGTTTCGGCCTAAGATCATCGCCATCACCATTATTATTTCCACTATTACCATTTCTCGCTGGTGATATTGCATTATTAATTGCGCTATCACCACTTCCAAAGTCGGGAAGAGGGGGAGGGGGTGGTGGTGGAGGTGGTGCTGGAGCTGAAATACTCGAAGAATTTGAAACACTTGAGATATTCGAGACGCTGGAGACGTTCGATGTGTTGGAGGTGCTTCTTGGTGGTGGCGGTGGTACGGTCGGAGGTGGAGGTAAACCGGGGGAGCCTGAGGGGGGTGGCGGCCGGGATGGCAGGGTCCTGTGGGCAGGTGGAGCACTCGGAGGGGGTGGAGGCACGTTCGTTCGCACTGGTGGCAATGGTCGTGTGCTTCTTGTTTGATTCTATAAATAAAATCACACGCACGGGGACATTCAGAGGCGTCTTTCAAACACACGAAATTCTTTATCTGTATTTTCTGCATTTTTCGATATTTAATTGTGACAAAAAATAAAAAAATGAGTTCTCTTATTTCTTTGAACATTTCGAGGACAATATAACAATTCTTGAGTCAAATAAAAAAAAATTTTGGAAGAAAAATGAGCAATATTTGAGTACTTTATTATTTTCTTTGTGAAATCCTTCTCAATTAATATTTTGGTTCGTCTCCAAAAGACAATAACATTCATTTACAATGAGAATTAGCGATTTGAATTATTTGAATTAAATAGTCAAATTAAAATTAATTAAATTGACTTGAATTGAAACTGATTTCAATAAAATGAGATTTAGCGATTTGACCATTCGACAGTGCGGTTTTTACTGCATCCAAAAACATATTCAATGCTTTACTTTTAGTTTTTTTAATCTAAAAACATCACCAAGTGTGATTTTTTAGGAAAATCCATGCAGTAAAAAAAAATTGGAATTTTCCTACCCTTTTATCAACAAAAAAAAATCGAATAAAAACCTTTAGAAACCATTTTTCCCTCTTCCAATCATTATGAGAAGAATGCAATAATTGTTTAATTGAGTGCAGCATTCTCTTCAGATAAACAGTCCATAAAATCGTTTCATCTCCTCGCCAAAGAAGAACGGAAACTACCTTAATGAGGATAATTGATTAACTCACATTGTTCATTCCAGGACTCGTCGTAACAGGTACCGTCCTGGCAGGAATGGGGGGAGGTGGATCAGAGCTGGGTGCAGGTGGCACCGGTAATGCTGGCAACGACTGCGTACTGGTGGGTCCAGCTTGTCTCGTCAATTTACCAAGGTCATTCTCCACCGCCTTCATTCCACCAGCCGCATCGAGGTAACTGTAGATGAAATCACGAGTGCTTTTGCTCGTCAGCTGTTGTCTCGTGATGCCAGCCACGTCGAAAAATTGCTTGAGTTTTGGATCATTTGGGTTCCAGTCGAGACCTTTGTGGGCGTCCCACCCCATGTGTGCTAAATGCCTGCAAAACCCAATTACTTAATTCAGAATACATCATTAATGGCTAAATTATACATCAGCACGAATGAAAATTCATTGAATAAAAATTTGAGACAAATGAATGTGCATTTTTTAATTATCGACAAACATTACCTGAAATCCGAGGGTAAACCAATGTCAGCAGTGGTTAATTTCCTCTTGGGATCCTTCTCCCGCCTGTTTTTCTTCTTGTACATTGAACTTCCCAGACTCCCATTGACTCCTAACGACGATGGGGAGCCATTCAACGTATTGGCACCTGTATTCGTCGAGAAACCAGTGAAATCAGGAGTACTATTAGGACTTCTCCTGGGTAATGTCACCACTCTCTGTTGCGCCTCAGCATCCAATCTCGCTTTTCTGTCCTGTCTCCTTTGTTTATTCGCATTTAATCTCTCCAGGAGAACACTCCTACAAAAGAGAGACCAAATTCATCAAGACAAATCCATTAATAATAGCGAAGTGGCAAAACGATTCAAGTCGATTTTGACTATTGGCCAGTTTTCATTGAATATCTCGGAATCCAAGGGGGATAGAAAAAATTTTGTTATGAGCTTTTCTGTAGCTCTCGATGCGCTCTACAAAAAAGGTTTTTACGAAAATTTCGTCATCTCCCTTAGATTCGGAGATATTCCTCGAAAACTCAGGAGATTATCTTCTTTTTTTATTTGAATTGTTGAGAGAGAGGATAATTGGTACCTCATAATCACGGCTTCAGTTTCATTAGCAAAATTGAATGCTGCCATACAATCCTCCCCCTCGAACGTATGAAAATACGTCATAGGTGCATTGTACGACATTGAATTATACAATTCCTGTTCCCACAACATGGCTTTCCTCTGCAAACAGTACAATCTCAGGAAGTAACTGCGTTTTGAGGTGTCCCTTATCAACGTTATCACACCGGTATTCTTCTTTATCCATTCTCGATGGGCAGGAGGCTCAGTCAAGTACAACTGTATGACTCCTGCCGCTAGGCACTGCAATCACAATTGCATAACTCCGTTTTTATTTGTTATCGATATATTTCTTTCTTTATCGAGTGTTTAAGGTTTTTGCTATAATTGTTGGGATTTAAGCAGGTGATTAGGCTCGGGGGAATGATAATTTCTGAGGGTTATCTGCGTGGCATTTATAAGCAGATCTGTTGTTCATTATCAGTTGTTGAATAGGAAAACACTTGTGGAAATATTTAGAGGGAATTGTGCATTCATTTGGACTGAGTAGGGAGAATGTTTATTCGTCAATTATGAAGTATGAGTAATTTCGGGATGGATTTGGACTAGATTTACTGAAAATAAATGAGAGAATTTAAGAAAATAGTCCAGAGTTCGATGACAGTTCATGAATTGTCATTGTGGCTCAGAAGTTTTACTTTAAAATTTGTTTGAATCGAGAATAGGTATTCATCAAATGGAATTAATGAATAATGAATAAATCTAGAAGAAATTCTGCCATCATTTGGAGCGAATGAAGACTTTTAATGATAAAAAATAAAATACAAGAATTTTAGGGTCATACATATTCTGGATTGAATGCAAAATATTCGTCGATTTTATTATAGAATTTGTTTGAATCAAAAAGATTTGTTCATGAAATGTAAATAATGAATAATTTATCAGTAAATCCAGAAGAAATTTCTGCGTCATTTGGAGCAAATAAAGAATCCTACTAGAAAAAAAAAATATCCAAGAATTTTAGGGACATATTTTGGGCTCAATCCAGAATATTCATCCTCAAACTAAGAATTTTTTTATCCAGAATTCAAGGAAATACTCCAGAAAGTGACATAGAAATGTCTGAATTGTGGTATGTGGCCCAGAAGTTTAGCTTCAAGATCAGTTTGAATCAAAAATATTTCTTCACGAACTGTAAGTAACAAATAATTCCTCAATAAATTCAGAAAAGATTTCGTCGTCACCCAGACCACATGAGATTCTCACTCAAAAAAAAATCCAAGAATTCTAGTCACATATTTTGGACTCAATCCAGCATATTCATTCTCCAACAAAGAATTTCTCCACACAAAATTCAAGAAAGTGCTCCAGAAAGTTCGATGGCAATGAAGAATACTAATTCATCAAGCAGAACTAATGAACAACGAATAAATCTAAAAAAAATCCGTCATCTCTAAAATAAAAAATAAAATTCGAGGATTCCAGGCTCATGCATATTCCCTGTCGAATCCAGCAGCTGAATCCCCAATCTAATAATTCCTCTCCCCAGAACTCAACAAATTGCTCCAAAAAATCGACAATGCTCGACCAGAGCCGTTTAAAATGTTCTCCCCAGAACTCCTTCCTCTTCGTCCCATTGACAAACCAAAGTCCAAGAGTGAGCCACCAATGACAAATCCGAAATGTGGAAATAGCACTTTCGCCCAGCAAAATCCCCGGAATATCAATTCCCACCTACACCGTAAACCCAATTGTCCCCGAATCGAGGTCACCAAAACTACAATGAATAATAACTCTCCACAATGGCAAAAAAAAAACCAAATTCACACAGTCAGCATCCGCGTAAAAATGTAGGTCAGTGTTGACTCAACGAGCGAATATTCTCACGGTTGAGCAATAAAAAGCCTTCAATCATGAACCCTCACCTGGCAACGATTTCCAATTAACCTGTAAATCTCCTCGTTCTCCTCAGAACTGAGGAGTACACATCCCCTGTGATCCTTGGTGCTCTTCATACTCCGTATTAACCTGCTCGGCAGGTTATGTTCATCGGTGTTAGCCTACCCCCGTCGAAAAATACAATATTTCGATGAAAAATGTTCACTGTTCCAGCCCTCCGCGCATGTTTTATCATTCACCACTGGCACTTGACAATTATCATCGTAATTTTAATCACTCGCACAATTTGTTTATCACCCAAATTAACCATCACCATGAAAACAAAATAAATCGACAACAAAAAAAAAACAATCTGCCAGATACCCTACCGACATTTATCTTCGAACTGTGTGTCGGAGGGGGGCATTAAAAAACCCACCACCCACGAAGGCAAATATACTTCCCCGTACGTCTGGCGCACTGGGCACAGGAAACTCAAATGACGGTTGATGACATTCCCGTCCATCCGGTTCGCAATGGACCCCGTTCCGTCATTCCCTTCATAACCTAAACCCCTCCCATGCTCCCGTCCCCCACGAAAATCCGATTAATCCCCTGTTTTTCCGTCCCTTGACCGAATTCAGGTGAACACCGAATGCCCCGCTATCTCCAAAATCAATCCCGATACATGTACTCGATAAAAACTCGAGTTCGCGGAATCGCGGGGTCTAATCTCTTATCACTTCCCCGAAACTCACTTTTTATCTACTAAAAAAACAATCCGCGAAATCTCGGCGCACCCAGCACCAGGAATGACGATTTTCCACGGGAATTCGTGACGTGATTTTTATGCAAATCCCATTGTCGAGGTACTGAATCATCTGCATTCATTTTCGATTTACGACATGACTCATTATGACGCGATCATTCCCCCCGCAGGTAAACAGCCGTTATCTCCTCGATAAATTGGGAATAATGTTAGCAAAACCCTCTGCACATGCCCAACAATGGAAATGAAAAACGAAAGCGGAAACAGTAGTCTTCAGAAACGGGCTAAAGTTTCAATAGTCAAAAAATTTTGAATAATTTCGCGGGCGTCCTCCGGCGCTGCAGTCGGCCATGTTGCCAAAAAAATTGCAAATGGCGGACGTTGGATAAATCGAGTCTGCAGTTTGCACCTGAGCCCTCGCATTCATGTCAACAAATGTCCAATTATTATCCCGAAGGAATTCGTAATAAAAGTGTCTCCGAGTTTAAAAAATGGTGACGAGATAATTGTGCTCTTGTGAGGGTGTTCATCGTAATTGTGTAACGAGGATTGCACAGAGGACTTGTGTATTAATTGCGCGGGAAAAATAAGGGGAGAAATGTCTGGATACCGAAGGGTAAACTATTACGAGTTGTGCAGACTCTGCACAAGCAGTGAGGGAAATAAATTGAATATATTTCGAGAGGAGGGACGTCGCAGGCAGCTCCAGAGTAAAATACAAACGTATCTGCCAATTCAGGTTAGTTATTTTGTTATTTTTATTGGTGAGACTGGGGATTTATGGGGCTTCGGTGGGTGATTTTGAAGGTTCTGGAGGAGGACTCGCTACCAAAGATCGTTTGCCACGAGTGTGTGAGGAAGTTGGAGAACTACATTGAGTTTAGGGAGACTGTTGTCAGTGCTGAGGGCATGCTGGAGTCGTACTTCACCTCGTTGAGGTTCTCGGAGGACTTTCTCAAGGAGGGGAAGGTCTATGTCAAGAGCACGGAGAAGGAGACACCCTCCAGCCCTCAGGATCCACTCAAGATTGATCAGATTGAGGAGGAGGAGGAGAGCGATCCGCTCATATCGGAGTCCCAGGGACAGCAGCAGGTTGTTGTGGGGGGGCTTAATGCCTCGAATATACAGATCATCAGTGGGGTGCAGGCCAGGGTGCAGCAGTACAAATGTGCCATGCAGGTATTTTCATTCTTCATTATTCCTGTTTTTTTTTTTGATCAACCGTTTTTAATTGGTTATAACTCAATATTGGCTGAGTGAATCTTGGAGAGTCACTTCTCATTTTTTAGGGATTTTTTCAGGCTTTGAAATGAGCTCTCATTTGGTGGAATCGTATCATTTGATTGGGAGATATTGAGGATATAAGAAGGGTCTATTTATTATTTCATTAGTGATTTTAATTCAATTTCTTAGAATGTTGGATAATTCGTGAAACAATAACAAATCAATCAGTTTTTTCATTCTATTCTGATACCCATAAAATATAAGATCCATTCTACATTTGAGTTGTTTCTAAATTTAATGTAACATCCTCTTTAATTAGCATATTCTCTAAATTGTGATTGATTTGAGGACAAAATGTTGAAATATTTCGTTTGTAGAGAATCTCAAGAACGACAAAAATCCTAAATTACAAGATCTTTTTAGAATAACAAAAATAGGTGTTCGAAAAAAAATCGTCAGGAGGCAATTCTTCGAGAAATATTTTTACGGAGAATTTTGTGAAATTCAAAAATAGTTGTTAGATATTATTCAATAAATCCACTCGTTTCTAAAAGCAAACTAAAAGAAAGTTTTCCTAAATTTTCCATTTTTCCAGGAGACATTGATGATTTAACAAGAACCCATTTAGTTACTTTTCACAATTCTATTACTGATTTCAATTAATCTAATTTTTCAGAACATCGAGTAATTTCCAAAGAATATCGAATACTCAAATATCTAAAACATGAAATTCATTCTGTTTGGAATTATCTCCTCTCGACATTGAACCCAATCCCCCAATTTTCAGATGCAATCTGGTGGCGTAGCATCAGCAGTGGTCGAGGCAACAGCCGAGACCCACTACAGCTACCAGCAACAAACCTCCCAGCAGTTGTCCCCCGAGAATTCCTCCCCCCAGGCTCGCCTCACCGAGGCCCAACCCCAGCCCCAACTCCAGGTGCAGAATCAAATTCAGAGCCAAAGTCAAATAAACTTGCAGACCCAGCGCTCCCAGCAACCAAACCCAATCAGCACAATAACCCAGATCCAGCAGTTACGAGAGTTCGAGAAACGCCAGTTACAACTCGAGAAGGATCAGTCCCAACAGCCCCAGGTGGTCAGCACAGTTCTCCTGAAGGCAGCAGATGTCGAGCCAGAACAGGATCAACTTCCCTCAAAAGAAAATGAGAATCAAAATCTAGAGTCTCCAGACGCCAGTGTCCAGAACTACGCAGCAGTCCAAGCCACTCCAGAGGTCTTTCTCAGTCTCAACTTCAAGGACTCAGCGATCACACAACAAACCCCTCGAGACGACGTCAAAGAGTTGAAGGATTTTATAAAATCAGATGACGCAATTGCTCGAAATTCGATTGGGCAAATCTCTGAATTCCTACGCATACGTACCTGTCCAGAAACAAACTCCCTGATAACAGTCAATCCTCAGGTAATCTTTATTATTATTATTTATTAACAATCTTGAGTGTATTAATTCAATTATTTACTAATGCTTAAAGATACAAAGTCCTATTACATGGGGAGCGGTAATGCATAGATTAATCGTTTAATTGCTGTTAGATTAACTGGGGGACTACCGCGAGCTTTAAAAGTCATGGGCTAATGGGGTGAGAAGTCCCATACGTTGAAGATCATTTATGAATGTGTAAAAACTAAGAATTAGTGCAAAAGAAAAAATTGTTCACTGTTCGTTACAGAGGTAGCTCAATTTTTAAGCCACAGAGATTTTTTCTTTTGAGAATTTCAAGTAACCAATTTCGTTCTTGTCTAAATAATCATGTGAGTTGTCTTGTTGGAAAGAATAGTGCAATTTTTTTAAGAAAAAAAAAAACAACCGAATGCACAGCTGTTTTCGAATCCCCTTTGACTTTTTCCTTGATCACTGAAAGGCAAAATAAAAATTGTTAGCAATTCTGACTTGATTTCTTAATGAATCCCCAGGCGATCTGTCAAACTGGAAGGAACCTGGACTGTCGTGACTGTGGCAAGACCTTCGAGTCATTAACCCAGATGAACAGCCACGAGTGTCCAAGTTCACCCCTCATGAACGAGGTCTCCGAGATTGAAACCAAGGACGAGCCACTGACTGGAAATGGCACAACAACATCATTCAGCTGTGACGTATGTGGTAAGCCGTTCAAACGAAAAGAACACCTGTTTCAACATCGAAAATTGCACACTGGTGAGAGGCCATATGTCTGCACAACTTGTGCCAAAGCGTTCAGTAGGAAGGAGCACCTGGTGCGTCACTCAGTGTCACACACTGGGCAGAAGATGCATGAGTGCGAGATGTGTGGCAAGAGCTTCTCGAGAAAGGACAATCTTCACAAACACAGGAAGACTCATGGGGTCGCTGGGCCCTATATCTGTGAAACGTGTGGCAAATCCTTTGTCGTTAAGCATTACTATCTCATGCATCTCACCACTCATGCACCTACTCAGGGGGAAGGGGAGAATTGTCCTGATCCACTCCCCTACAAGTGTGATCTCTGTCATAAAGCGTTCTCGGTTAAGCAGTATTTGACGACACACAAGCTGAGACATCGATCGAAGAATAATCATGGCAGTCAGAGTAGTCAGAATAGTCAGGCACAGCAAGCTGCTGTCAGCACCAGTAATGGGGTTGTCACCAGTAGTGTCACCAGCACGAGCAGCTTGGGGAGTGGAAGTGGTCAGGAGGGACAGGTTGTCGAGATGCAGGGGGTGGGGGAGAGGGAGCAGGGGCAGCAGCAGAACTTTGGGAGCAATCAGTATCAGGGGAATGTTCAAGGGTTTCAATGAGATAAGGGTAAGCGTGTCTACTATGTGCTTCTTCCTAATGGCAATAATCATAAGATTGTTGTGGTTTAAGGGGGAGGTTGTAGGCACGCGTCTGCTGGGTTGCAATTACGAGAGCTTGGGAATTTCGGGGGATTAGCTCCAGTTTATTTCGCTAATATCTTTTAAATTGATGGTTTTTTTATTTTTCTATGGATCCGTTCGTTTTTGAATAACTGGGGGTAATTTTCCCTAAATGCAAAGCAAAATTCTTCTTTATTAGATGATGAGCGCGATCATGGTTGATTTGAGAATGACATGTCAAGATATCTTTTTTGTCGAGAATGGCATGGTCTCCAGAAAAGATCTGTTGACATTTAAAAAATGTAAATTTTGTGAAATTCCAAAATTTTGTTTCGTGATTATCTCAATCACAATTAATTTGGGAACAAAATGTTAAGATGTCTTTTTTGTAGAGTATTTCATGAACTCCAAAAAAGATCTATTGACATTCCAACATTTTCAGAATAATGAAAAAAATATATTTAAAAAAATTCTCGAGTGCTCGTAAATGCAACACAGCTTTTTTAGTTTTAATTTCTCTTCGGCCAACAAGCACTTTTTATTTTCTATTCGATAAACATATTGACCCCTCTGGCAAATTTTGTACTTTAATAACAATATAAAATGAAAATACCGATAATCAAAATGTTTTTCGTCACATCGATAAAAAATAATGCAAAACAAACCCCCTTCAGTGTAAAAGTGTTTTACATGAATTCTTTGCAGTGCGCTTAAGAGACTGACAGACTTTATATAACAGTGTAAATATTTTATCAGATGAATGCTGAAGTATTATAATTGCAGGTGCGATGGGTAGAGGGTAGCGTTATTAAAATAGGGAGAGACAGGGGAGATATTCGTGCAAAATACATTGAAGTGTACTATTAGGTTTATCGATTGGAGATTGAACATATGATGGGCGCAGTGTCGCCGTTATCGACTATTTTTTCAGAAAAAAAATGATAATTCCACTAGGATATCTCATAAGTATTTAACTTTATTTAAATATTTGGTTTTTGGGGAATCTTATAGTGATTTGTGTCGTGGTAACAATTGTGTGGAGCCATAGGAGCTTTAGAAAATTTTATTATATTTTTTTTCTAGGTTTTTTTATTTTGAATACATGACAAAATCTAACGACGAACTCGTTGATTTCGTTGAGGAATTATTTTTCAGCGAAATTGTGCAATACTCGATCGCAGTGCGAAGCATCACGTAGATGTAACTTCAATCCTTAATTACATTTCTTAATTCTTCATTAATTGACGGTCAGCTGTGGCCCTTCAAACTAAAAAAAAAATGGAATAAACAGTTCTAGGGAAGGTGTGTTTAGTTGATAATTAGTTATATGTACGCGTACATACATGTATATACATGTATATGGATTAGAGTAGACGATTTTAAGACCAAAGAATACTATATTGTGTAAAGGGAGGACGACGAGAGGAATAAGGAGGAAATTTAAACTGTATGTGTAATTCTTATCAATTAGGTTGATAGATTATATATTATAATTATCATGTAAGTGTGATTGAAGTTATGGGATTATACAATTTCTGGAAGACTTGATTAGAGAATTAGTGGAGTGCCATTGACCAAAATTAAAGGGGGAGTAGATAAATGGAAATGTACGGATTAAATTGCATTTTAATAATCGCCATGGATAATTTTAACTCATCGAATTGCGTTTTCATTTTGTAACTTGTAATCGAACTTTCGGCTAAATTAGAATTTTTCCGTCATTATTGAGGGATAGGTAATATGGTTAATCCTTCGACGTCTGAATATCAAATAAAGAGAATCTTTGAGAGTGATTGGGATTTTTTATTTTATTTTTAATGGCGAAGTGTCTTAAACCCTAGAAAAAGTCGATGATCTTTATTATTCACCAAACTTATTTTTTTTTCTGTTTAACGTCTCAGTTGGTACATGTAAGACCTGATGAAATTGTAATCAGGAAGATTCTCGATCCTCCCAAGTGCCACGACCACTGGGCACTGATCGTAGATGTATTTGTCAGCTGCTCGTCTCAATACGTCTGCAGACACTCCATCGAAACGTAAAAGTCTCTCGTTGAACGTTTGATAAGCCCCTCGATGGTAAATGCACATCGCAATGTCGAGGAATCTGTCTTCTGGGGTTTTCACACTCATCAATTCCCGCATTTTACATTGATTCACTGCTCTGGCTACTTCTTTACTTGTTATGGAGGTGCACAGGCGCATCCACTCCTTCTGGACCATGAAGGTCATGTCCTGGAAGTTTAACGTTTATATAGTGAAAAAAAAGTCTTGACGGAAATAAAATTGCAGAGATCATCACCTCCAATTGCATTCTCTCGCACACGAAGTAACATCCCCACAGTCCGGTGCAATGCCATCCGATATTGAAGGATTTGTAGAGGTGACACATGTCTGTGCCGAAGGCACATTGTGCCAGGTATGGAGCATTATTTTTGTAGCCTCCTGGACAGCGATAGCCATAATCATAAATTAGAATTACTGTTAAATTTTGAACCAGTCAATTCGTTTGTATTACAATTCTACAATTTTTAATTATTAAATTAATCATCAATTAAATATTTAAACTCCAAATTACTTTATCAATCTATAATTTAGCTAGGAAAATGGACGATTATTTCGTTAATCGAAAATCCTTTAAAATTTAGTATTATTTATTCAACAGACAATTGACAATTCCATATTGTCAATTATTTTACTATTTTTCAATTCCGTTGATTATATGGAAACCAATGACTAATGGCCATTCCTGCTCCTGGAATAATTTGAATAATTAAACAGCAAGGGGAATTGTTTAAATGAAAAAGTTCTTTTCATTCTCTGAATTGTTAGTTATTTTACAGAGGAATGATCAGACGTTTTCTTAGTATTTTTGTGGGATTGAATGTAAAGAAAAAATGGTACTGACCATCAGCGAGACTCCACTGTCCCACGAAGTCCTTGGCAACAGTCATGGCGCAGTGATCATCGCAGTCCCCATGTCCTGGCCCTTCCACAGCCATTGCTACGTACCCCAACTCCTGGTCGTCATCCCTGTACCTCATCTCGGAGCCTGTGTATCGGAAGGATAGGGATGCTGGGTACACCTCCTGGTCGATTTGTTTAGGCGGCTTGCAGGGGTCAGGCTCTTCAGTCTCAAAGTATCTCTCAGTGATGCATTGGAGGTCCTCGAAGGATGTGCCACCAGTGCTGATCATCGTCATGTTGTGGGGCCTGAAGAGACGGTTTCTGAAGGAGTTGATTGTGTCTGCTGTCATATTTCTATAACAAAAAATTAAAAATGAGGAATTTTCACGGGATTCAAAACCCACTGTTCAATACGAGCAGAAAATCTACTTTATTATTTAATTATTTAAGGAATTGAATTTTGTGCTTCACTTCAACTCACTCGATGACACACGTGTCCGGGTAAATACTCCTCCCCAGGTTCGTCCCCTGATACGCAACAGTTGGAAGATAATCCATCGTCATTCCCTCGAAATTCCCCTCCATCTCCTGCAAACGCCTGAGGATAACTCCCTTCTCCCTCTCAACATCCTCTTCGCATATGATTCCGTCCAGAATTATTTCCGCCAACAGCCCCATCAATCGCTCAAAGTCCCATGAAGGGACTGTCCCATAGAAGAGGAAAATATCCCTCGTGGCAGTTGCTGATAGCTTAGCTCCTAGTTTCCCCAGATCTTCTTCAATATCTTCGGGGTTTTTACATCTTGTTCTCTGCGGGGAATAACGTTGCATAATAAAAACATCTTTCTGGGAGAGACGATTCGGGGTTTGATAAGATTTCCCATTCGACTAGAAAATTCCCTCATCCAATGAATCATCTGAAGAATTCATCCATCAATTGATAAATCCTTGAATTTGCCTTTTGCTAAATAAATATTTTTTCTAGCTCTGCCGCGAAATCTTCAGGAGACTTAAATCTTGTTTTTTGTGCAGAATAACACGATATTATTTCATAAAAAAAGAAACAAATCAAAAAGAGTTTTTTGCCATAATTTCTTCATGATCATTGTCATAATTATTTTCTTCGTAATTATCATTCCCTTCATGATTATCATTTTTTTTATGAAACTTTGAGACTTGATAAGATTTCCCACTCGACTAGAAAATTCCCTCATCCAATGAATCATCTGAAGAATTCATCCATCAATTGATAAATCCTTGAATTTGCCTTTTGCTAAATAAATATTTTTTCTAGCTCTGCCGCGAAATCTTCAGGAGACTTAAATCTTGTTTTTTGTGCAGAATAACACGATATTATTTCATAAAAAAAGAAACAAATCAAAAAGAGTTTTTTGCCATAATTTCTTCATGATCATTGTCATAATTATTTTCTTCGTAATTATCATTCCCTTCATGATTATCATTTTTTTTATGAAACTTTGAGACTTGATAAGATTTCCCACTCGACTAGAAAATTCCCTCATCCAATGAATCATCTGAAGAATTCATCCATCAATTGATAAATCCTTGAATTTGCCTTTTGCTAAATAAATATTTTTTCTAGCTCTGCCGCGAAATCTTCAGGAGAAATCTTAAATCTTTTTTTTTGTGCAGAATACCACGATATTCTTTCATAAAAAAAAAGAAACAAATCAAAGAGTTTTTTGCCATAATTTCTTCATGATCACTGTCATAATTATTTTCTTCGTAATTATCATTCCCTTCGTGATTATCATTTCCTCTATGAGAAGAAGCAAATCGACTTGATAAGTGCTCCCACTCAACTCAAAAATCCCCCCATTCAATTAATCATTTAAATAGTCCCATCAATTAATAAATCTTTCAACTCGTTTTTGCTCACTCGAAACAGCAAATGCTCCATGAATAAAGCAGCCCCTCTCTCCTTCGGATATTCATGAATCGCCCCAGCCGGAAGAAAACACCCCACAGCAGTGAAACAGGAGTCTGCTTTGTACTCACATACCAATTTCATGTCATTTTTCAAGTACGTCGAGTCCATCACTCCTTCAGGAACCTCAACATTACTCCCCACACAGGGAGCGGGCCTAGACGACACTTCCCGAGCAGCGAACTGAATAATCAAACATTCAAAGTAATTCCCAAGTGATTGGAATAATTTTCACGTGAATTTTAAACAGTTCTCACCCTCGAAAAAGCCTTGAAATTAATTTTTGGACGGACACTGAATGCTCCACGTAAACTCCACATCTTCAACCGAGTTCTAGCCTCCACCACTCAAGCAAAACAATCGACGCTCGTTTCTCCATTCGTTTGTTTTTTTATTCTCTTTTATTAAATAATTCTTTACAAAGCCCAGTTGTCATTCGATTATTAAATTCTAAAGTTGCAGAAAGTATTTCATACCCAAACTCGACGGTACGATTCCAATGCAACAATATACATTTTTCACAAAAACATGATTTACTTTATCACACATACCCCAAACACATACGAACATTAACACAATTAGATTATAATATACATGTATTTCTTCGTCAATAACTAGTGCAATGGAAAAGAATTATGATAAACTTTACATAATTGAGTTATCATTCGTTAGTTGGAAATATCGAGTAGCAGATGTAACAGGAGTTTTATTTATATACTATTTTTGAAACTCCAATCAATATATATTTTCATTTGTTATATATCTTTACGGATTTGTCGACTTGTTAATTGATTAGTTGTCATTCAGAAATGAGGGGGAAAGAATAGCTTGGAGACTTTAAGAAAAATTCTTGAGAAATGGGGGAGGATGGGGCAAAATGGACACTCATTACTGTTCTCTCAATGTTCATAACTCGGAGGCAAATTGATCAATTGAGGTCAGTCTAGGCTCATCACAAAATAAAAAGGTTGTACTTGCCAGAGAAAAAAATTATCACATTTCATGAGTAATTCAATGAGTTTTTGAAATTGAAAAAAAAGTAAGTTTAAGTTTTGCCTCATTTGCCCTTATATCAAGGGGAGACCGCACTGAAATCTGAAAATCGTAGGGCCTTTATTTATCGTGCTGATGAGTTTATAACTCCAGTTTTTTAATGTAAAGAAGGAATCGCGTGATGAGGATACCTTTGAAAATATTATTCCTTTAAAGCCGCTTTCTAATCGATAAAAAAATCTTTTTTTTTTTCATTTTCTCAATACTGTAGATGAAGACACCAGAGATTTCGAAATTCTTGTGCCTTCTCCCCTTAAAGTAATGGTATTGTGTCGATAACAATTTCAATGTTCTCCCATGAATTTAGAGTATAGGGACGAGGGGTGATAGAGTAAAAATAATAGTGGAAATGACAGTCTTAAAAATTCCATTACCAAAATTTCGAATGTCAAGCGCAGTATTTTCCTTACAATCTGTGGTGTAAAAGTAAATGAAGTAATTGTTATTTACAAATACAGTGTGGGATGCTGTTACAATTTTTGAATCCATGCGTTTCAAGAGAAAAATTGCACATGAATTGATCAAGTGGATTTTGAGGTTTTAAATACTTTGCATGGCAGTCGAACATTGAATTTTGAATGCAATTGATTTTGGGGGGTTTCACCCGAAGGATGAGATAATCGTGACGTCGGGCTTTTGTGTTTTAAATGTAGCTACTGCGTCGGCGGTTACACCAGTGCCCGTTACGTCGAGGTATTGAAGACTCATTGCATTCGCAGCCAAGTGCACCAGACTTTGATTTGTGACCAGTGGATAATTCCTGGAAAATATACGAATTTTTGTTAATGTTTTTCAGGAGTTTTCAAATTATTGAAAAATTAATCCTAAAATTTGCAGTGGAAAATCTTGCAATTGTCAACAATTACGAATTCACATGAAATTTTGATGGAATTACAGACAAATCAATTAACTTCTGGAATATTCAATGAAATTAAAATTTGCAGGCAATGGGAACTACTGAAAATTAAGAAATTTCAGTAAAGTGTTGCTCTGCATTTTCAATCTCCAAATTTTTGGAAATGAGTAACACATTTCCAACATAATTAAAACAAAAGGTGGAAGTTTGTGGGAGATTGTTCGAACTTATTGATTTTTATTCCAATGAATAATATGTTTTTAAATTAATAAAGTTCGCTTGGGCCATGTTCAGGTCAGCAGCAACAAAAAATGACAAAAATCACTAATTAAATTGTACTACATTTCGAATACCAACGCATTCCTTCAGGGGCTTTTTTTATTCTGAGATAAATCCTGAGCATAAAATTAGTAATTACATGATTAAATGGCTAAAAGTCTACTTTTTTTTAAAATTACTAGTTCCAAATAGATTCGCAAAATATATTTAATATATTTTTAAAATATATATAATTTTTCTATAATTTAGAATTTGAAAAAGGGCTATAATAATTTATTAAACCTCACCTTACAACTAATGTTTTCAAATCCGGATTATTCAGAACCCGAATATCGGGCTCGACCAGGATAACATCCCTGATGGAGTTATCGAGGACCCCGCGATCGCAAATGTAGCTTCCAAGGGCGCAGATCGATCCGTCGCTAATTCGACAACGCGACGGATCATTCCACGTGTAGAAGTCGTCCTCAGGGGCCGCTATGTATTGGACCACGTGGTTGTCCTCATAATGCCGCCGCGGAAGAGGACGCGGTCTCTGCTCTCTGACTTCATTCGTTTCAGCGAATTCGGGGGAGTATTCTAGGTATATGTGGGTTAGTGTCTTCGTACTGCTGAAACAGCGGATCTCACTGTCACCGAATGCAGTACATCTCAAGTCTAAAATCTGTCAAATGAGAATCAATTAAAAATCAAACAAGTTGTCATCGAATTTTATATTATGAAATTTGAGAAAATTATCAAAAGACCTTTTTGTGGGAAATTTCCTCAGCAAAAAACCTTTGGATGAATTCTCAATTTTCCAACGCATTACAATTTTTGTTTCCAATTCATATTAAAATTTTGTTATAAAATGACTCTTTTGTGAGCAAGAAATTCCATAAAATCTTCTTTGATCAATTGGGTATAAAATTAAACTCACGAGAATCTAGAATTTAATTAGAAACAATTACAACGACTTTAGAACACTATCTCTAAATTAAACAAATCAAATTGTTTCATTCAAAACTGAGACAATCTATCGATAATTAAATTCAGAAACATTTATCAAAACATCGTTTATAGGAAAATTTCTAAAACTCAACAATTTGTTAAACAATTTTATTAAAAATAAAAATGAAAAATAACCATTTTCAAATTTTGCAATGACTAATCCTTCCACATTTTTCTAATTTACCTCTAACGCTTTGAACCCAAATCTCGTCGCCAGACTAGCATACGCCACGCACTCCCCCAGTCGTTTGCACGAGTTCAGTCTCAATTCCTTTAATTTCGGAATTTTACTAATAACGAGCAACGAGTGACCAGTCACCCACTGGCAGTCGGTGAGAATGAGACTCGTCAGATTAGGCATGTGGGTGTCGATTCTGAAGAAATACGACTTGTTCGTCATCAAGTTGCAGACCTTGCTGCTCTTCAGGGAGAGTTTCTCGAGGGTCGAGGGAAAGTCGACGACTCGAATCTCAGTGCTTATGATTGAATACTCCTCGATTATGAACTCCTTGAGGCCAGTGCAGGTCTCGCAGATCGAGGAGATGAAGTCATTCTTCAGTTCTTCCAGAGAACCTTCGTCCCACTCTCGGGTCCTTCCGTTTATGGCTATACTCGTCGTCAGGGGCTGCAGGAATTTCACGTAGGTTTTCAGATCTTTTATTTGCATTGGGGTTGATCGGAAGTCGACTGTTCGCCACAGGGTTCGATCGCGACAGACACTGTGGAGTCTTTTGCAGCATCTGTTAAATAGAAAATTTATTAATTATTTTATTCTGATGAATTTGTCAGGATTTTTCTCAATGATTAATTTTTAATTTGCCTCCATAAAGAGAAATAGCAAGACATTTTCACCTGAAGTCGACCAAAAAATGATCATAATTGAATGAATAAATAATTTAATTTAATAATTTAATGAGGAATTGCTGAAATAGTTAATTTATGTAAAAGTCATTTGTTAATTAAAATATAAAGCCTCTCAACAAAATGTTTCACGTACAAACTAAGAGACATGAGATCCTGAGGAGTGAGATACTTCATGATGTTGAGCAAAACATCATCAGAGAACTCCATAATACTGATCGGTTCAACCTCCGGTTCCCCATTCGCCTCGGAGGGATCCGAGAGCTTCGGAATCTTCGCATCTCGACTGCTCGACGGCTCCGGGGACAGGGATTTGCTGCGCTTGACCTTCATCTTCCTTCTGCACCTGTAAAACAAAAAGAATATCGTCAAATATCACGACGTAATCATCAATCTAGAACATTCCAAGAATTTCGTACAAGAACTTTACGAATATCTCCAGAACCATCAGTTCTAGGGAAAAATGTCAAAAGAGATTTTTCGTAGAAAATTGAATTCTCTGAAAAAAAGGTTTTTTAGCTTTTTGCTCTACACCCGCTAATTTAGAAGTTATGAACGAAATTGTCTTCGAATTCTGTTTCAAAAATTTCCGTTTTCAACCCTTCTTGACAATTTCACCAATCGAATAAATCTAAACAATGTCAAAATATTTTTAACGATTTTTTACATGATACAGTCGGTTGGACCATGCATGGGCTGCCGGGTGGCTATGATCCTGGCCCAAAGGGCCTCCACATTCTCCCTCTCGGCCATTGTACCTCTGACACTCCCAGGAATATAAAAATCTGATACTATCATGAAAATGGAGAAGACACAACTGAACTGTGGGAAAAATGCGTCAGTTTGTGATGCTTGTGAAATATCTAATTTTGACTTGCACATATTCACTCGTTATGTTCTGGCAGCAAGCCCAAAACTGAGGGAATATAAGCGATAAGACGTATTTTCCACCGTTCTTTGTGCTTCTTGCTCGTGTGAATTCTGGGGTTGTTCATTCAGACAGTAGTCATTCAGTCGTCACTCTGAAAATTCCATTTTTATTTCACGCGAGAAACGTTTCTCATCAAAATTGTGCGTAGTTGTGAGACATGGGGTTAACAAAAAATAAAAGGGAAAAATGCATTTTTCACTTCGAAAATTTCCAATGTAGAACGACTTTTTTTTTGCATTCTCACTAATTTCGTAGAAGTTTATTTTTTCATTGACGAGACCTAGTGATTTTTATTGAGACGTGTCGTTACTTTTTTATCGAAATTGTTCAGTTCAATGTAAAGTCAGACAGTAGGTAGGTATTCAATCTTCACTCGAAATATTCCATTTCTCTATTTGACAAGAACAAAAAGTTGTCGTGCATTCTCCTTAATTTTACCGAAGTTAATTTTTCCATTCACGAGACCTAGTGATTTTTATTGAGCCGTCTCGTTACTTTTTTACGAAAATTGTTAAGTTCAATGTAAAGTCAGACAATAGTCACTCAGTCTTCACTCTGACCACTCCATTCTTCTATTTTCCAAAAGAAAAAAAGCTCCCTTAAAAAAATAATGTGCAAGCATGTCAATCATGTGATATGGGATTTACAGAAAAAAATAAAAATAAAAAAATAAACAAAGTGATACTCTGCTCCGAAATTTCTCTGCGTTCTGTGCCCCCCCACTAATTTTATAGAACTTAATTTTTTCATTGACTGCACGTAGTGATTCCCACAGAGATGTTTCCTTTATTTTTAATAAAGTTCTTCAATTCACTGTTAAATGTTATCATACCCCTCAAACTGCTCCGAAATTCTCATTATTTCGAGGAATAGTCAATCGACTAATTACTCAATTATTCCATTAATGATTCTGCCATTGCGAAATAATCCGGAGTGAATGCCTCATATGTAAACAATGAAAGGGTGTAATCAAGAGTCAACAAGTATAACCTACAATTAGAACAATTAATTGGAGCTAATGAGTAATAAACGAGTGAATGTTGAGTGTTTACCTCTCGTGGAGCTGATGAATTTCCAAAAATAATCGACTGGGACTTTTTCTGGAGCCTCGATCACTGTGGATTTGTGAACCAAGAAAAAGAATAACGAAAAAACTCAATAAATCCCTCACATATGACAATTGGACTGAGGTGGAGAAGCTTTGCTACAAGTCAATGCGTTTGCGCGTCGATTGGAGAAGGAAAAAGTGAAAGAGAACTTGGCCTCGATACACGAGGTCAAGGCTCTTGGATATTTTTGGATTTTTTTTTTCTGGGTATAATCGAGTTTATTGTTTACTAGTTCAAATGTTCAGCCTCAACCCTTGCACATTTCATAACAAATATATATTTTCTACATCAACATTGTCAAAATAGCGCCATATTGAGGGGAGAGAACTACACAGGATTAGATTCGTGGGTTTTATGAGCGGTTGGTAAATGGGCGCGGAGTTTCTAGTCGTTAGATGGCGGGAGAACTAAATTCTTGGGGTTATTAGCGCGAAATGTCAATTGTATTTCGTTCACTGCGGTTGTTTATCATTATTTTGGGGTATTTGAAGTCAAATAGAAGATTATTATATTTTATAATTATCAGGAATGATGAATAAATTGATTGACAGATAATTTCAGCATTTTATTTGACTATTTTTTGAATGTCCCTGAATTGAAAAAGAAATTGATGAATTGAGGCTCATCACAAATTTTTACCAATTTTCTACTCAATTAATTTGACTGCATGATTTGATAGTTGTAACATTGCATGAGAATCTTAATAATAAAATAAATAATAATTATAAGGAGGAGATATTGGCCGAAATGAAATGTAGAATTTTCTTTTTCAATTTATTTCGCATTCGAAACTTGTTTTGAGTTAAAACTTGACGCGCATTTCAATTGTATTTCGATTACTATGATTGTTGATCATTATTTTGGATTATTTGAAGTCAAATAAAAAATTATTATATTTAATGATTATCAGGAATGATGAATAAATTGATTGACAGATAATTTCAGTATTTTATTTGACTATTTTTTAATGCTTTGAATTCGAAAACAAATTGATCGATAGAAAAGAAAATATTCCATTCCATCACAAACTCAAGGAGTTATTGAGATTAAAAAAATGATAAGTGCCCGTGTTGGCCTCTCGCCCGTAAATAAGATGTTATTTATTACCAATATTTTATTCAATTAATTTGATTTCACGATAAAATCATATTATGATAGCTTCAACATGGCATGATAATTTTAATAATAAAATGAATAATAAATGATACAACATTTATTGTTCAATTTATTTCCCATTCAAAACTTGTTTTGATCCTGTCTATTCTTTTCCATAATTTTCAATTTGTATGTTCTAATGACAGAATTATTTTAAAAAGTATAATTACTACGATGAAATTGACTGGCAAAGGAAGAAGAAAATATGAAGAACTGTGTGAAATTACGCCTTGTTCTCCGAAGACGTTCGAAGTATTGAGTATTTTTTTATGCACAGATTTAGTATCTGCACAAAAAATATGTTGACACCAGGCCAGTTAGCCTCAAGCATTTCCTCGCTGCGGTTTCATTTTTTGTGTTTATGTACAGCCTTAGTTAAATTTGATAAAACTCATTTATCGTACTCCACTTTCCCGCAAACTCCTGCTTCCGGTGATGAAATTAATCTCGTGCGGTGCCGCGGGAGTCAGTCCGATTCAAACCCCCATGCGGCGCGGACAATAATGATTTAACAACAATAATAATTTTTGAATCCAATAATAGCCGTTAATAACTACTATCTTTAGATTAAATTACAATTCAATTAAACCCCTGCATTGTTCTCGTTTGGCTTTCTCGTTTCAACTCGATTCATAGAACAATAATTAGCAACAAAAAGTTCCGTCAATGATCACCTAATACTATTAATACTATTACTGAAAATAGGGACTAACTGAATCGCAAATTAAAATGGCTAAAGACGCTGGACTGCCCCAGGAAATAATAGAAAAACCGATTGTGCATGCGATTGTGAATGATTTGAGTTCAGTAACTGAGACTGCACTTGGAGATGAGGTTGAGCTTGGGGTTGTTGAAGTGAAGCCAGAGGAAACTGCTCTTGAGGTTGATACGACGGACCAGGCGCGTCGCGCGGCTCGCCAGGAGTCCACATACGCCGCGAAGAAGACTGTTGCCCAGGGGATGATGGATGTCGCCTTGATCACAGCTAATGCCAATCAGCTGCGGTATCTCGTTGAGTACCAGAGGGAGAGCCCCACCTTCTGGTTCATTGTTTCGCTCATTACCATCAGCCTCTCCCTCCAGGTAAAGTTACCGGGGAAATTTTCAAACGAGATTGATTCGTTCAACTCCAGTACTTTTTCACCTCGGAAATGAGCGAAAGTCGACATGACGTTGTGTTGACTGCACGGAGAGAATTTTTTTAGAAAAATTCTAGTGCGAGTTCTGGAAAAAATCACAATCCCTGCGAAAAATTCTAGTGCTGTTAAGGGGGAACGGAACCCCTGTGGCTGTAGGAACTTTTAGGATGATGTTTTCTCCTGCAATTATTATTTTTTATTCATTCAACTACTTCATTGACTCAACAATGCGATAATCGAGTCGATAAAGTAGTTTCACAAATTGAAATTAATGTTTGTAGGAGAAAACGCAATTCTAAGATTTGATAGAGACAAAGGGGTTCCGTCTCCACTGAAGGTAAAATTTCTTGGTATTTCTGGTACAAATTCTGGGGATTTCTGTGAAATTTTACAGAAATATGGGGAAAAATTCACGTTTTCCCCAATAAAATTTCTAGTACGTCACCTTGCGCCTTTTTTCCCGTGCTAACACTAGAATTTTTCTAAAAAAATTCTCTCCGTGTGCTTTTGTTGAACTGCTGTGTTGTTATTATTTATTAGGTCGCTGTGGGAGTCAGTCTGATCTTTAAAGGACGCTTCGACATCAAGGGGAAATCGAGATCACCTCAAGCATTGAGAATTAATAACTACGTTGTTGTTGCGGTCTTCCTTATTACGATAATAAATGTTTTCGTCGCCGCGTTCAGCATCACGAGTCCACCTGCTGTTGCGGGGGCTTCTACTGTGAATAATGCTGCCGCCTAGATTCTATCATGATTATTTTATTAGGTGAAACATGAATTTAGTAGCGAAGTTATAAACTATTTAGAATTGATCTCTGAAAGGGGAGAATTGAATTTGACTTTTCAGATTCATTTTTTATCGTATTTTTTATATTTTGTAAATAAAGTGAGTGAAAATCTTCAGAAGTTACTTTTATGATTGAAAATTAAATCCCATGACAAAAAAAATTCTTCGAATTTCTAAAGAATTCGAATTTTTGTTTGTGACAAAAATTCGCGCTGACCAACAACGCATTTATTGTTTGGAATGTTGCCGAGATGTTTTTCTAACGATTTCGGTCAGTTGTGAATATGTATGGGAGGAATTGATTGAATTCATTCAGAATGAACAGAATTAATAATAATTCTAATAATTATTTCATTAGGAGAAACATAAATTAAGTAGCGGAGTAATGAAACATCTTGATATCTAAAAGAGATAATAAATTCATCATTTTTGTTTTATTTTTAATCGCATTTTCTATTTTTTTCTGAATAAAACCAATCGAAATGTTCAAAGTTCACGGTTAAAATTGAAAAAATTTAATAAAAATCTGCTAATTCCCATGTTACTCCAGATTTCTAACGGTATCTGAAGGAATTTTCTTTGTTTTGAATTGTGGTTTTCAGAATAAAAAAAAAGAAAAGAAAGAAAAAACTCGATCTAATGGCAAGCGCATTTACGAAATGTCGCCGAGATGTTTGTGAATACGAATGAAAGGGATTGGAGTAACTCATTTAAAATTTTAAATTGATTCTCCTGACAATTTCACCTCGTTACAAAGTATTAATCCATTCAGAACGAATAGAAAGCATTCAATATGCATCCCAGGGCTCTAACCGACCGACTTGGCAAGTATCACCCGCAATCGGACGCTCTAAATAGTGACGAGATTCAAGGGCGCCAACCGCTCTCATTTGATATTAAAAAGCTCCGCGTTTCATCTCTAAACGCAGGTTATATCCTACGCGATTTCTCCCGAGCTTCGGTACATCGTCACTGGGATGTCCCTCTTCCCCACCCCCGCCGGGTCCGCGGGGGGTGGCAAAACGGGTGGCAAAACATTACGACGAAGGCTGCGCGGTGCGCATGAAACAAAGGTAAGTGCAGCCGCCATTGCCGGAGCTTACGTCGGAGTGCAATTTTTGTTTCGAGAGGTGTTACGTCAAATTTTTCGATAATATCAGACTCTGAAAATCTACTGTGGTGAGAGATGGGAAAGGGAAAAGGTGAGATATCAGAATAAATTTACCCCACTCAAAATTTTCTTCATCCAAAGAGTATATTTTTTATTTTTGAGTAAAATTAAATGCGCTGCTCTTGACATTGAAGGCTAGGGGCCAAAAACCTGTCATTAACAATTTTTTATTCTTTGAAAATAATTTTTTTCGCCTCTTATCGTCATTTTTATGGCATGCGTCTCCAGTTTTTGCATGCGGAGATGCAATTGAATGTAATTGCATTCAAAGTTAATTGAGTAATTGTATTTAGGAGGCGGCGGGGGCGGGGGTGGCGGGGCAAAGGGCGGAGATGTGAGTTTTTATCATGAAATTATTTCATCAGGTGAAGTGTTGTCAATCGCACTTTAACGATTATTGATATTGTTTAGAATAAGAAGGGCGGTGCTGCTGCGCCTGCGTCGGGCAAGTCGGAGGCCAAGGCCGACGCGAAAGGCGGGAATAAAGGTGGCAAAAAAGGTGTGTTGTGATGATGAAATCTCGGGGGAATATTCTCGTCGGGGTACACTGTTAATAAAGTTTGGCTGAATTTTCCGGAAGAAGAACTTGAGTGGGATTTAAGGGGAAGAGGTCAATGGAATTTCAAGTTTTCCAGTTTTTTAGTGGCAGGAAGAAAGAAATTCCACATTTTTCATGAATTTTCAAGTGAAACTGAATATTCACAGCCGAATTCGCTTTAAAGTTCTAAATTTTCTTTAAAATTCTTGGAATTTTGGTATTTTGTTGAGGAATTTCCTGAAAAATCAGAGGAATTTGGAATTTAAAAAGCGATTTCTCCGAATTGTCCCGGAATAATTCAACTGAAATCTACAGTTCCTACGGATTTTCCTATAAAATTATAAATTTTCAATAATAAAATTCTCTTACTGGAAATTTCAGTAGAAAATTTTTAACAGTGCAGTTGATTTTTTTGTTAATGAAATTGATCCAATTATTAACGATTATATTAATTATTATCAGTGAGATTTGACGATGGTTGGGTTTGTCGAGCATTTGAGTCCAGGCGAAGATGATAAATCAATGAAAAATCAGTAAATGATTCAATTATTCCACTGGGTAATTCACGATAATTAATTCTTCATTCTTATGTTGCAGGTGGGAAAAAATGACCTCAGCTGTACCCACTATCAATTCATCCCCCAATTATCACTTGTTAATTTATTGAAGATATTGAGAAAGAAATTTTATTAATTTATATTCAAACACAAATAAAAAAATCTTCATTTTATGGAAAAAAATCATGTATTCGTGATTTATTCTCTTCTATGCTGCAAAAATGAATGGCTTCTTCACTAGAAATGAGATTGAGTGAAGATGAAGAAAAAAGTGTCCATTGTTGTGCTTTTCCTCTCGAGTGATGAAAAAAGCAAAAAATCCACAAAGAAAACATGAAATTGTCAAAATTTTATTTTCCATTCCAATCCTACAAATACATGAATCTCTGATAAGTGCACTTATTACATCATTTATTTATTCCCCAGAGGTTTAAGAACAACATTATAAATTGAGATTTATTCAGCTGAAAATCACATTCAGTCGATTTTTCGTCGTAAAAATGACATAATTCACATACCTCATTACTCTTCGCGCATTTCGAATACTGAAATCACAATATTTATGGTAACTGTGAGGACCAATAACAAAAGGGCAAAGTTATTCCACAGGTTTGCCTTGTTTTGGTCCTGCTGTTTGTTTATGTTGAGACTTGAGCCCAGGAATATAAAAATCATACCTTGGAGGATCTGATGATGAAAAACAAAAAATAAAAATCAACGAACAAAATAAAAATAAAAATCAATCATAATAAAAATAGATAAAAATGTCAAATGAATGAAATAAAAAATGAAAATCCAAATTAATCCCTTCGAATTAATCCAATCGCGATGCTTCATTAATAAAGAATAAAAATGAAAAAAAAACAAAAAAACAAATAATAAACATGAAAATAATCGAAGACCATTAATGGCACTAAGAATCTACTCCAATGGCACCGCAATGCCTCTCCTCACAGCGTAATTAGCCCCAGTGAGCACCTCCCTCGGTTTATTACTGAATTCCATTCCGAAACCCGATATAGCGACATTCGTTAGACTGATGACAAAAACCCCGATTAATATGACGTCGTTAATGATGTTAGCAGCCCACTGGTCCCTCCTTCGATTGATGTCTAACCCACCGACAGCAATGAAGAGAAGACCCACGATGGCCTGCGCATTTCAATGAGTTTCTTGCGTTCCTCTTCATGAATAAAAACACCCCCAATCCCTTCGAATTGATCCAATTGCTACGCAAGAGTCTCACACGAGTGTCTGACGATGATTATTAATATCATTAATTCAATAGTTTGAAAGTAAATTCATCTATAAGGGCGGCCGGGGCAAAATGGACTTCTTCGAGTCGCCATCATCTCATTGTGTGCTCCATTTTGCCCCTGCATTTTGATTTTGTTTGATTAATGCATCATCTCGGTGCCCTCGGGAGGGTCGAACAACAACAGCGAGGAGAGACCCATCGGATCGAATGCAGCTATCAGAATGTTATCCAAGAAAACAATGAAGCTTAGGGCAACTCTCAACCGGCCGATCCACTCAACGGCGTACCCATTCCTTGAGTCCTCCATCTGTCGGTCCAACATGAGGTTCAAGGACAGGGACAACAAGCCCGACAGGATCTGCATGTTACAGAGATTTTTTTTTCGGGTTTGTCATTCTTCCGAGGCAATTGGACCAATTTCTAAGCTATGCATTGCGCGCGTGCTGATCGTTTCAATACTAATTTCTACGGTGCTTTTCGTGATTTAACACTGGGTTGGTGACCCTATGAGGGAAACATCGCCGCGCGTCGTTTTTCTTCAATTCCAATTGACTGGCTTACCGGAAAATTGAAAATACTTCAATTTGAAATACTTCAATTTGTCAATTGAAGGGTCTAAGAAATTATAGTAGTTTTTAGAACAATATATTTATCAAAATTCCTGAAGAAAACGTATTATTTCGAAGAGATAAATTATTTTTCCGATGTTAAATGTAATTGCCCACGCCGCGACGTTGCCGGAAACTCTCTAAACGCGCCTGGGCAGTGTAGAGTGAATTCGGCAACGCTAAAGCCTAAATAAGACGCCGGGGAATCCCCGCGGAGGTGACCAATCGCAGGAACGCATCTGGTGACCAGACTAGTTGGTCACCCTATAAGGGAAACCCCGGTGTGTGTCGTTTTTCTTTAATTACAATTGACTGGCTCGCCGGAAAAATTCACCGAAATTTGACTTTGTCAATTGAAAGGTCTAAGAAATTATAGTAGTTTTTAGAACAACATATTTTTCAAAATTCCTAACGAAAACAAATTATTTCGAAGAGATGAATTATTTGCAGGAAACTCAAGAATACGACCCAGATCACTCTCGACATTTTTCAGATTTTTCCTAGATCTTTCAAATTTATCATTTGTCGATTTATGCTGGCGCGGCGGGGCGCGACGAATCGCGTTCGTAATTTTTGCGCGACCAACGGAGTGTTAAGACAGTTGACTGAGGATTTTAATTGCTCTGCATGCGGTTTGAGAAATTTTTTGTAAATTATGGAGATGGATTTGGTAACTCATCTCTCGATGTTATTTTTATTATATTGCAATGTTTTTTGCGAGTGCCTGTGGTATTTTTTCAAGTGAACACTGCAATCGGGTTTGCGATACTTGTACAATTGATGAAACATGCGATGTGTGTTCATTACGTGAGTTTATTATGGTTAAAACGGTTTTGGTGCGCCTGTGGAATTTTTGAAGATTCATTTTGGGCGTAAAATTTACCTGAAGTCCTATTGATACACATATGAGGGTGAGCATCAGGGTGTAAAATTCGTGCTGCTTCCCCACCTAAATCCAAATAATTGAGAATGATTTTTCATGCAGTACAATGTTGAGAGTTATTGACGGAAATTCCGAGTATTCTTTTTAGAAATTTTTGCAAAGGAATATTTTCACGGAAATTCCAGAGACTTTCATAATTGAAAATTTACGATTTTATGAAAAAATGAATGGAACTGTGAATTTCCGATAAATTATTTAATGGAAATCAATAGAAAATCGGGAAAATTCAAGTTAATATATTCTTGAATGTTAAATTGATTGAAATTTTTGGCTGAAATTTTCGGTATACGACTTGGAAATTTCTATAAACGGATATTTTTACTGGAATTTCAACAAATTTCGTCATTAAAAATTCAAGACTTGATAGCAAAAACAGTGGAAACGGTAAATTTCCGCTCAATTATCGCCTCAAAATTTATAAGACTAAGAATTTTAAATTAATAGACATTTTTAGCAGTCCAATAAAATGAATTTATAAAGTCACCTGTAGGATGTACTTCAACTGTGATGCATTAGCCGTGAGTAGTGCAATATCCAGCATCCCCTGCGCAATAGTCTTCTTCGTCGCATATCTGTTGGCATCCAAGGACTTCACCTGTAATCATAAAGAAAAAAACAATTCCATTGACATCCTATACAATTCACTGAGCAAACCAAAGTCCATGTTCACTTCCCCACCTCCCCCTCGCCCCCAGCCGTGAATTACTCAATCTCCTTGTCCGTGATTGCTCACACGTGTGACGCAGCGGCTCCTTTCCTGGGCTGATTCAACCAGAAAAGACCATTTAAACCCACCAATAGGCGAAATCAATTTAAAATGAAGTTGAACCCTCATTACACATGAGTTTTAAAAGTCGTGGGCGATTGGAGTGAGATTTCTCATACGTTATAGATCGTTTGTGTATGTCTAAAAACAAATAATTAATGCGAAAAAATTAATTGCTTATTATTCGTGTGCCCCGCACACGCTTAAAATGTTAAAAATAGTCCAGGGCCTCCAATTTTTGGACTCCAAAGGTTTCTTTTTTTTCAAAGTTTTTGAAAAAAGTGTCCAATAATAATTACGCATTAGTTTTTTTAAATTCGACTCCTACACAGTTAATTTCGTTTTGTTTAAAATAAAAATTTGCGCCATTCATGTAAAATAGGCAGAAAAAATTTTCAGGCTATTTTACATGAATGGTGCAATTTTTTATTTAAAAAATAACAAAATTAGCTACGTGTAGGAGATGAATTAAAAAAAAACAAATTCATAATTGTTATTGCACATATTTTTCCAAAAATTCTGAAAACAAGAAACCTCTGTAGCTCAAAAATTGGAAGCCCTGGACTATTTTTAACACACGAAGAGAAATATTCAATAAAAATTACATATCTTTTCCGTAAATCCGGAGCGCAATGTGGTTGTAAGAAATTTTACGGAATTGTCACGTAATTTTTACCTGAATCTCTTGTGAAAGATTACGATACCGTTACTTAAATTGCTCTCCGTACATTTTAAGCGTCGGCGGAACAAACGAACAATAAAAAATTAATTATTTTGCACTAATTATTCATTTTTATAAATATGCAATCGATCTTTAACGTATGAGAAATCGCAATCCAATAGTCTCCCCTTAAGGGGTAACAGAAGGCCGCGTTTCCTCGAAATTTTCAAACAAATTTCCTTCTCAAAGTTATTAATATTATTTGAACCCAAAGCACATTGACCTTCATCGTCACCTCCTGGAGATTAATGTGCTTCGATTTGTAAAAATATCGATAACTTTCGGCAGGAGATTTGTTCAAAAATTTTGAAAATTGGCGTCATTCTGTTACCCCTTAATTCATCCCCCCAGCACTTACTCCATTGGCCTCTCCTCTTTCTCCAGACTCAGGGCTTGAAACTCCCGGGATAAATTGTGGGCCGAGTAAGGGGGGACGAAATGCCTCACCCTTCAGGCAATCTCTCGAGAAAATCCACCTGTTCAGGGCTGCACGCACGCATTTATCGAACTGTGAGGGTTTGAGGTCTTGAAACTTCTTGTCGTCTTCACCCTTATTGTGACCCCTCCCGAAGGGCTCGGGCTTCTCCACTTTGTCAGACATATCTTTCTGCCGACTTCGGTGCACTTTTCTGTTTAACGACGAGGGAAACGCCAGACGGGAAGGATTGCTTCCGATGTTATGAAAGCTTTATCGACACGTCTTCAGATAAGAACACTTGATTAGTGTTGATTTAAGAGCTTATCAATCACTCGACGCCCGCTGATTTCCACCTGTTGCGATGCAGTGAGAGCGGCATTGCGACCGGGGAAGCGTCAGGTGCAGAGGTGCCACCAGCAGTCATTTTTGTTATTTTTTTCTTCTCATTGTTGCTGTAACGAATGGAGTTGTCCTTTCGGGGAAGTAATGGACGTATTGTTTCAGCTGTAATTGGGAATGGAGCATTCGAGGGAGGGAAAGGAGTTCAAGGAGCTGTGGCTCAAAATTATATCAATGCCGCTGCGAATTATAAAAAGTTGGATTTGACGGAAATACGGAGTCAGCGGCGGTGATTACAGCTGTTTGTGTTTGGGTAAATTACCCGGTAGTAGATGAATATTCTAGCAATGCCAGGCCAATTCGGGCATCAATGAAAAATTCAATCTCGGGAAAAACGGGGAATTGGTAGACGTAATAACGGTGATTGATGTTTGAGTATCTTTAGAACCGCTTAGGCTTGACGGGGAATTGTTACGGGGTCAGGAAGTACAGAAGGTGAAATACTTTGGTGGAATAATGTCGGGTCAGGTATTAATGTGACGTGGATTTGGGGTCATTACTTCGGTCATCGATTCGCGGAGTCCTATGACCCTGGCATATGCTGCGACACTTCGTCATTCAAACGAATGAATTGATTATAATTTGGAGGGAACTTTTCGCGGACGTCAGGAAATTGATCGAAGCGGATTTTTGGTGACGAAATTGGGGAGGTGATCGGTAGACTCGTCAGGGAGGAAATAGTAGTAAATTCTGTTGAGCATTTTTTGCCACTAGTTCTACGGAATAGTTAAATACTCTGCGGAGAATATTTTAGATAAAAAACACGGTTGGGCTAAGGGGATAATTGCGGGATGTTTGGCATTGAGGAATTCTATTTCTTCGGCGTAAATTCATTCTCAGTTCTAAAAAAATTAGTTTGAATTTAGAAGGAATCCATTCTCGAGAGAAAATGTCCCTTCTAGTCTTCGTTTAAAATCATTTGGAGATAATAATATAAATAATAAATAATAAATGTACTAGAAATAATTATTAATTATTCAGGGAGTCATGTGGCCCTGGGGAATGACTTAATTGAAATTCAGAGGAAATTTTTGCGTACGTCAATAATTTAATCGAAGTAGATTTTTGTCCAAAGAAATTGCGAAGGAGTTGATCGACAGATTCATTCAGGAAAAAAAAATAGTGACTTCAATTGAACATTTTCTTTAATTATTTCAAGAGAATATTTAAATACTTTAAATGCAGTGAAAATTATAGTTTAAAAAAACACGGTTGAACTAACGGGATAATTTCGCGATATTTGGCATTGAAAAATTATATTTCCATCGGCATAAATTCATTCTAAATTTTAAAAAATGACTTGTTTGTCATCTTTATATGTGATGAGCGAATTTAAAAGAAAAAGTTCTTAACAGAAAACATCACACGCAGATTTACCTTGAAATCATTAGTTGTTTGAATAATTTAATATTCAGAGTTGATAAAAAATTTCTCTAATCATATAGAAGTAAAAATGATATCAAACAATAAAAATATTATAAATAATAATATTAAAAATGTAAATGTAAAAATTACCGTATTAAGGTTACCATTCTCTCCCACAATCGGCCCCACAGTGGTGGCCGCAGTGGACATGTTCTTCAAGTACCGTAAAATCCTGATGACAAAAAACAGCGCCGTATTGACGCCGTTGACGAGTCGTTAAAAATCAAAACCCCTGCAACCCTTGTGCCCGAACGAACCCGTTCAATCGCTCGTTATTCACTGTTTGTTCTGCCGACAGGACTGGCACTCGTGAAGGCACTTGAATGAAGTCTGTACTCGACCGAAGCTCGCAAGCCCTAGACCACGAGTGCGATTCCCTCCCTTTTGCGACGATCGCTATGTAATACACAAAGAAATGGTCGATCAACTAAGCCCGACATTTTATTGGCTGGCTCGGAAACGGACAGTTAACCATTGATTCATATCAACCTTCTGGGGAGTGCATACATTTTCGCGTGCATAGTGCATACTATCCGCAATTGTTGTGACAGTTTCTTATATCCATGGCAACCGGAGCCTCTGATGGCATCTTCAAATCTCATTTTTCAAGTTAATTATCAATTCTATTTTATTTAGAACACACGGGAATGAGTGTCATGAATTTAATTTAATTTTTTCATCAATTTCTCAACCAAAAATGCGATTTGATTATCCCTCGCGAATCTCTGATTTCCGAGATGATTTCATCGCTAATGAAATGGGAAAATCGATTTATTATGCGATGTTCCACTTCACTGTTGAATTGATTTTTTATAAATATTCACAGCCGGAGGAATAACGCATTTGAATCAAATGCATGTTTTCGACAATAGTTGTGCGGAAATTTCTTATATCCATGGTAACCAAAGCCTCTGATCGCAACTTCAAATCTCATTTTTCAAGTTCAAGTTTTCAAATTATCTCTACGATTTTATTTAGAACACACGGGAATGAGTGTCACGAATTTAACTTCATTTTTTCATCAATTTCCCAACAAAAAATAATATCACTGTGATTATCACTCGCGAATCTCTGATTTCCGAGACATCTTCATTGTTAATGAAATGTGTGGATCGATTTATTATGCGGTGCTCCACTTCACTGTTAAATTGATTTTTTATAAGTATTCACACCTGGAGAAATACCCCATGCAGATTAAATGCATTTTTTCATTAAAAATTCTGCGATTTCGTTCAGCAATAGTTTTTGAATGAAAATAATTGATGCATTCCGAATAAATTCTTTATTAGAATCAAATAGACGATTCATTTGATGTTAATGGGAATCAAATTAAAGTTTGAATAAGAACTTTATTACGAACTACTTGAATAAAACTATTTGTTTGTTTAAATAAAAATCAATAGAACTGAGGAAAATCCGGGGAAATATGTTATCGAATACTAAATTAATTCAATTTTTTGGCTGAAATTTCCAATTCACTTCTTGGAAATTTTCATCAAATGAAAGTTTTACTGAAATTTCAACGAATTTCTTTATTACAAATTCATTTTTTTTCTGCAATGTTCCACTTCACTATTGAATTAATTTTCAAATTAATTCGGCAATTCGACAATTAATTTTTTTTTAAACTCACTATTGAGATAATGGCATACTTGAATAGATTTCCTATAAAGTAAATAAAATCAATTGACAAATAGTCAACTTTGACTCGTTAAACTCATTTAATTCGCTCAATTTTCATTTTATTACAATAATGCAACATTCTGCAGCCCTTTATTCACTCATTGTCATTTGTATTCCTCGACGACAATTACGTGCGTAAAAACGCTCATTTTTCACATATAAAATTAAAAAAATGGGGTGTACCTAAGGCGCATGAGTGGGTGATTAATTTATTTTTTTTTCTCTCTCAAAATCACAGGTACATTTACTTTTTGAAGAACAGTTAAATTATCGAATTCTATGTTTCTACGATTCGAAGTGAAAGTATGAAGTCAATGGATTTGAAACGGTGAACATATAATCTGGTTTTATCGTCTTTTGATTATAAAATAATAGTTTAAGTAAGCGTTGAGAGCCGAATGTCGAAATTAACAACACAATTATTTTTATTTTTAATTAGGGACAGAAGAGGTAATAAAATTAATGTTAATAATAGAAACTGTGAGACCAATAGCAACACGAGTCGATAAATCTAGAGGCAAACAATTTGACTGTACATTTTTTTTAAGATTAAACAGTTTTTTATCATTTAGTAATAACTATATACTTTTCTTAGTTAACCGGTTAAACCGGAATTTTTTCACGAGTCATTAAACTCCTGGACAATCTTATAATCATTAAGTAATGTTAATGGGGCACTGACGTATGAAAAATAAAAATATCCATCACTCTATGCTTCAGAGTCCATCCCCTCATAATTCAGTTTTTTTCTTCTTAATTTTCTTCTGTCCACTCGATGAATAATGCTACTGTACATTTTTTAGGACAATAATTTTTCGTTTCTTCGAGTGCATGAAAAAACGTTGATAATCTTGGATTTCTCTCATTTTAATCTTGAGTTGGGGCGACCTGAGTGGTTAATTCGCTTCAAGTGGGCTCTGTGTTTGCCAGGAATTCGCCTGCATCGAGAGTCGCTGGTTATTACTCGGCTTCAGGGGCTGAGTGCATCGTACTGCGTCGGGAAAACGCTCGTGGTATCTCTCCAATCGGAGGTATTTGACTGTTACTAAGTGACCTGTGAAAAGTTACAAACGAATGCGAATTTAATGCGAAGAAATTTATAAAATCAGGAAATTAAGAAAATGAACGAAAGCCAATGATTCTTAGAAGTTTAAAATAATGACTCGTTATGTAGTGATTCTTACCATCAAACCAACAACCGTGAAGAGCTCTGTATGCCTTGCCAGCATCATCATGGGTCAGGCATTTCATGTAGACACAGCCCTCACGACTGCCACGATCAACTCTAATGTGAAGAATTTTTACACCCTCACCGCACTTCTCCAAGATTGCATCCTGTACTTTGACTTCCCAGTCATCTTCAAACTCCCTAGAAGGCATAATAAATTATTGCTTCATCATCTAATCATTCCATTCTATGGAAATCACATGAAAGTGTTGAAAGTTTTTGGCTGAACGGCTTCTTAGAAATTTTTATCTATTTATTTTGAAACTCATGTCTATGTTTATCAGGCAAGTGAACAGTATAGGAAATTGGAAGAAATGAATATACTATTTCAAATTGACAATGAAAGAGGATTAAATACTGATTTCTTCCAATTTTCTATGATTTGCATTCCACTGATTTTTATCAAACTCCAGTTTTACTGAAATTGCAGGGAATTTCAGCATTGAAAATTCAAAATTCTATAGAAAAATGAAAACTAGATTTCAGTTGAATAATTCCGTAACTTAATGAAACTCAGGAAAATTCAATCGGATACTCAATATTAATTTTAGTTATGAAAAATGCAAATAAACTGGGGAATTCTAATCTTTCTGCTGTTTAAAACCTTCAAATTCCATTGCATTTCCATTGAAAACTGAAATTCGACTTTTCCCCTAAATCTAGTTATCCCTGAAGTTTCAATTTTTTTCCTCACAATGTATCAAATATTTTTACGGAACGTGAAAAATCGAATCGTTAATAAATACTTACACATCAGGATCGAACATGTGACGAATCTTAAGACAGGGAGTAGGTGAAAATGCTGGACTGTTAACAGATCCCTCCATAGTCTCGAACGCCTGTCCTTGCCAGACTTTATTCTTCTTGCTTCCCGCTGGCGATGATGTATTAGACGTACTCAGCTTTGGCAGCCATCTCCAGACATGGAACTCCTCTCCCGCGACCTGTTGCACCTCCCGACGAATCCTCGATTCATTCTCGTCGAGGAACTTCACTGCCTTCTCCCAAGTTCCTGCCATCTTCCGGCGGTCCTTGGGTGGTATGAGATTGTCCCTCACGTGGTTTATAGCTAGGTAACTCTCCTGAGTACCTCCCGGGCTGGCTGTTGCTGCTGTCTGGTGATGACTCTCCACCATGCTTATTATCTCACTCACCAGGTGGAATACCTCTCTCTCTGCTGATTTTTTGTATTTTATGTACCATTGAACTGCTTTGTGGAGTCCCAGAACTGTTGCGACTCCTAGAATAAGAGTAATATTACTTTCAATTCGGTATTGAAGCGATAAAACGTGAGAATTCTATTTCTGAAGGGTTAATTGTCTCAAGAGACAGTTTACGTTGGAAATGTTCTTGAGAATTTCCTCTAAAATCTCTTTTTTACAAACTGAATTAATGAATAATTAACGAAGTATAGCCATAATTATAGTTGTAAATAGTTGTACATAATTGTAACTATAAATATTTATAGGTATACCTAGAAATATCGATAACTATACTTATTTCTATGGCTATAGAAATTGGCCAGTGAATTTTGATAGTTGCAATAATTTATCCATTACAACAACAGGGATGTACCATGCATTTCATGCATTCCTCACGCATTCACGAGGAATGAATGTATTTTTTATAGAAAAACAATTATAAGGCCCAACGGGTATATTTATAGCACAAGATACTCTGGTGAGAAGAAATAAATCGTGGATTGGGGATGGAAAATAGTTTACTTAAAAGGATTACAGGATGTGGAATAGGTTTCACTGATCCAAAGGAGTATTTCAAACAGGAATTGTGGAGCTACCAATCATTAAATAACGTGTCTGTTGTGAATTTACCGATGGCACAGATAAATAGACTCGATAGAACTGTGAAGACCTTCTGTTTTATCAAACATTTAACTGGTAATTCTGGATTCAGCATTACCATCCCCACTTTTCCTTCCAAACGAGTTTGAAACACTTTTTCCTGGAAATGAAAAACAATAATTATTAGTAAAACGAAATGGGAAAAATTTTATACCATTCTCTTGTGTCTATTATTTAATTCTTGGTGAAAGCCTTTATCTTCTGTGCAGTCAGAGATATTTATAGAAAATAATTTCCTCTCTAAGTGATGTGGTTTTATCTCGTTTTATCAAATCTCTTTTAGACTTATCTGATCCTTTCAAGTTTGAAATTATTTCGAAAATGTCAAGAGACTTCAATTGTGGAAGGTTTTATCAGCTGCCAAATATATCTGGCCTAGATCCAGTCATTCTTCAAATAATTACATAATAAATTTTAAGTGTAATAACTGAACTCTCACCATTGAATCTAGAATATGTTCGGATATGTCAGTTCCTTCATCGACTTCGATGAGTGAAATCCCCCATTTTGGATTCTCAAAGATCAGTAACTGGGCGTTGTGGAGATCACCAGTGATTTCAAACTCTTTCTGTAAAATTAACAATGAAATATTCATAAATTATAAAAATGTGAATGAGGACAAGCTCGAGGTAATCATGGACAGAGGACACTTACGACTTTGTTACTCTTCAACATATTTATGACCTCAGAATCAGTGATGTAGGGCGCGTCACTGGTGTCCTCACAGGCAGCAGCAACAGCTCTCTTCATCAATATTGGTCTGAGTCGTTTCAATAATTGCATCACAGTCTCCACATCTTCTTGGAGTAAGCAGTTAACACCGGGTTTATCGTGATCAGAATGCGAACAAAGTGGAACTTCACTGTCTACAAAACACATGAAATCCAAATACTGCATTAAATAATTCCGACGATATTCATAATTTCGGATTTTTCATGCAACATATGAATGAAAATCTCTGGATGCATAATAACTATTTTTGTTTCAAGGGAAAAGGAAAGAAAAATACTGATAACTGAAAATCTCCAGTACAACATTTATTATTCGTATAATGAAAAAAATACATTTTCAAAAGTTGATTCTCAAAAAAAATGTTAGAATTCTTTATATATAATTTTCTCTAGAAAAAATGGGTGTTAGTTGTATACAGAGTCTAATAATTTATTCGTTCGATTTCAAGTGATCTGTCAATTACTGTTTTTGCTAATTCGTTGATTTTTGATAAATTATCAAATCTCATATTCCAAATAAATGGAAAATTCGAGGAAAAATTCACAAAAAAAAATATGAATAAATACTGAATTTCAAGACCTGAGCACTCGACAATGAGTGGTAAACATCAGTTAGACTTTGTATATTTGAACTAATTAAAGATTAGTACTATCATAATTGCATCATAACTCTAGCTATGATCTACCCACACCTCAAAAAAAGACAATTGTATAAATGAATAATTCGTGTACATAAAGTTGTTAATAACTTAATCTGAATACCTACCCATGGGTAGAGAAGGTACAACCTCGGTTTTTCCACCTAGACCGAGGTAAACAATAGCCAAAACACCGAAGAAGAGAGCCAGTCCTATGACTAATACCATTGACACCATGTTCTGATTATTTCTACCCTCTTCCTGTTTTGTTACTGGCGCTTTGTACGATCTGGTCACCACGTCTCGTGGCCTGTCATTCGAAGACGAAACGTATCTGGAAGAATAATAACATAGTCCCATCAATCACACGATCATAATAACTCCAAAAATTCCGTAAATCATTTTTTATTAAATTCACCTGGAGTTTGTTGCAGTGTACGATGATCGTAGAGTTGAAAAATGTCCATTGGTATCAGTTTCCTTGGTGTCTGGGCGTAATTGAGTTGTATGACGTAGCATCGAACCTGAAATGACATATTAATTACTATTTTATCATCAAACTTCAAGAGAAAATCATTAAATTGTATATATCATTATTATATCCATTTTGTAATCTAAAGTTTTCTAAAATTTTAAGAATTACGATTGAAATTGCAATCAAAAGCAGTAAATAAAACTGAAGATTTTCAAAAAGCATTTTTAAATAATGAATGATGAATACTGACTTCTGAATGATGGAAAATCATGGAAATAACGTTCAGAAGATGATTTTAAATCCCATAAATCCCATAAAATCTCCAATAGAATTATGAAAAAAATCCTTACTCTTAAAATTAGATCGAGAAGGTACGCTGCTGCTGGCCTGAGTGCTGAGTCTCCTCGTGAATTCCGAGAGATAAGGGCTCTCGTAGTTAGCCAGAATATCATTGACATTGAGATCATCCTTCTTATAGGGCGGATCATCCTTGACCGGTGCAATGGGTGAGATATTGGGCTTGAAAGGTGGCACTGTGTACTTCTCCTCCCTGAGTAGATTGGAGCCCCTGGTTCTGCTCTCATAAGTCTTGCCAGTAGTCTCGACCTCAGCTGAGTTTCTATCCTTACGAGAGTCGTAAGTCTTGGTGCTCTCTGTTCCAAATTTCGTTGGAAAACGCTTCTCTGGCTCCTCCGGAATATCCGAGTCAGAGCCAGTCTCCAAGCCATCGTTGACTGTCGAGAGCTTGTACGATTTCTTCTTCTGGACACTCTTGGTGGTACGACTCGTTGAATTCACTGTCGCATCCTCGTAATCGGAGGCCTCCTTGGACTCGGAGTTCCTCGAGCCAGCACGACGTTTCGAGGGACTCCTGGAGGCACTCGTGGCCACTGGAGGTGGTGCTGAGGCTGGTGGAGGCATTGGATTCGCCATCGTTTGCCTACGATTGCTCGACGCTGCTTTCTTCTTTTTATTCGTCGTTGCTGCAATGTCATCGTCAGTGTCATCACTGCTGTATCTGTAATGACATGTTTTATTTATTTTATTTCATTTTTTTCTCATGTCGAGATTGTTTGGGGTGATTGAAGGAGTCTAAAATTGCTGAGGAGTTAAGTTGTTAAGTTGGTCGTGGAATCAATGAGATCTGATTTTAATCGACGACCTCAGGGTTCGGTCCAACTACAATTGTTACGATTAATCTCAAGTCATTCAACCTGAAACGTAACCACCAATGTCACGCATCATCAGACCAGAGAGGTTTTGTTTTCCACGCCGACCATTTTTGAATGTGTTTTTTTTTGCTCCTCCAATTTTGTCATGCAGCTTTTTGGTTAAGTATTTTTGGACGATGAATTCACGGATTATTCTTACCTCGCTGCTAATGAGTGACGAGGGCCAGAGCCACCACGCGAATCAATGAGATTTTTCAGCTTCTTGACGAGTATCTTCCTGGTGGTCTGGGTCACCGGTCCAACGGGATAACCGTACTCGGCGAGTTTCGTACGAAGCTCCGAGTCGGTAAGCGATTCAACCGACATTATTGCGTATTTACTGCACTCCCGGTACGATTTACTCGTGGTGATTTCGAGTTGTTGGTTATTTTGAGGTTTTGTGGATGGTGTTGGGACATGCGAGCGATATTTAATGGCTTGTGATTATTTTAACACACACTTGGAGCCCTATTCCGCCACTTTCAGAGTTATGCCCGACACACAAGAGTTCGTGTCTTCAACGTTTTTTTTCGCTTTTTCGCCTGCGATGCGAGCTGTACCCGCTTTCTGCTCGGGGGCATTCGGAAGGAGTCGGTGGGACGCGAACCGCGGGGACCAATGGGGTGAGGGCAGAGGGGAAATGTTGGGGGAGGGGGGTCGTTTGTACATTGTCAGTGGGCACATTCCGTTTTGGACACGTTCTAGGGAAAATGGCGTCAGTACGGGAGGCGGTGGAACAGATGGAGACGGAAATTTGTGGTCACATTCGCGGAGTTAAACAGGGCTCGATATTGCAGATGTCCTCTGAAGAAGTCTTATCAATCGAATTTTCTAGTGCAGCCATAGGCACGTTGAGAGGTGGCGGGATTATTCTCATTTCAAGCGGAATTACAAACTGATCGAACTAGAGCAATAGGCTGTCAGCCGGTAACTGTTATTTATAAACAATTGACGATGGTAAATCACTTGTAATTCGTTAGCAGATGAATGTAATAGTTTTTAGTGTTTAAGGATCAATTGGACTCAATTGATTAGTAAACTACAAGAACTAACGACGTACTAATTAAGAATCAACATTCACTTAACGAAGAAATTCGATTTTGCCGAAAGTCGATTTCCCTCTGGGAAAGTCAAAGATTTGACACTTTGGCTCCGGGGGAAAGAAAATTTTTTATTTCTGCATTTCTGGGGCCGGAGTGTTTCATTAGCATCAGAATCGACCTTCACTTGGCAAATTATGAGAAAATTGATGAAATATGTGATTTTTCAATGTCGAGGATTCTTGAAATTTAAGCGGACCGAATGAAGAAAAAATCAGTAGTTGTTTGATGGAAAAATTCCATCAAACAACTACTTTTAACAGACTGCATTTTCCTCCCCGGAAAATCTTAGATCTAACTCCTAACGCACCTATCATCACAACCTCGCAAGCTCATAATCAATTTCTTTATTTTTTCATCTTAATCCAAAAAGTCGACAGTCGTCACTCGACATGCGTTCTTCAACGTTTAATTTTAAAAAATTAATAATTAATAAATTATTAATTAATTATTACAAATTATAATTCTTAATTAATTATTAATTTCATAATTAATTTCCTTCGACACAATCTTCAACAATCAGTCTAACAATCTACCCCATTCAACCTTGATTTTATTTAAAAAATCTCCCTGGCTTAAGTTTGAATTCTTCCCACTCCTTCTTTTGACTCGAGTGGTTGTTGCCATTTGTTTACATTTCACTGCCGGCGCGCCAGTGATGTTCGACTCGTCTCTAGCCGGTGATGCATGACCTCCCAGTGACTTCAATTTCTCTAAATAAATTCAACAAACGCTATAAACGAATATTTCGAAAAGGTCCCCTGAAAAATAATGCCGTGAAAAAATGAAGAAGGCATTTTTTGAAGTGTAGGTTAGAAGCACAACCGAAAATGCGAACGAAGCTAGACTTGCTGCTCCACCCGGCCCATCAGCTCGCCCTTCCAACCTTGATTTTATTCAAAAAATCTCCCTGGCTCAAGTTCGAAGCCTTCCCGCCCTTTCTTTTGACTCCAGTCGTTGTCGCCATTTGTTTACACTTCACTGGCGGCGCGCCAGTGATGTTCGAGTCGTCTCTAACCGGCAATGCATGACCTCCCAGTGACTTTAGTTTCCCTAAACAAATTTAACAAACATCAGTGTTAATGAATCGATGTTAGTGAATGTTCAAAAAAAAACTAGTCAAAAATAAAGACGTCATGAAGGTAGGTAGAAGCACAACCGAAAATGCGACCGAAGCCCGACTTGCTGCTGCTCCGACTAGTTCCGGGACTTCCACTAATATTCCGTGTCATATTACTCATTTCCATCTTCTTCGTACATTTAGCTTCACCCCTCTCATGATTATCTAAATAAGTCAACGTAAAATATCGTGAATAAATCAGTGAAAACATCTTGGTGTTCTGTGATCAGTGAAAAAAACATGGACGCTCGCGTTCGAAAGTGTGTTTATCAGTGTTTCCCGCGTGTGAAGTGCAGTGCAAGTGAAAAAATTAGTTAACAATGACTTGAATCAACCCCAGATGTGTATTCCCCTCAAGACAACGGCAGAAGCATCAAGGGTGAGTCGAAACATGTATTTTCAGGTTGGAAAAAAATTTACTTTGTCGCTGTTCAGATCTCTCGGGGGATTGACAGCCCCCAGAGGACATTGGATGCATTTTCTTCTCAATTTTACTGGCAATGGAGTAAATGCCTCGTTCATGATGAATTAACACTTTGGAGTTCCCAAAATTCCTCAGTTTGTACTGCTCGCCGGATATCCAGAGCTCGTTCTGGATGCTTTCGAGCCAGGACTGCTGGTGTCCTATCACCGAACCTGGACGACATATTCTGGTCCACGCGATTGCCTCTCGCGCGTTCATCTTGTAGTGTTTTATCAGATAGGCGGCTATCAGGGTCCCCGTGCGACCTAATCCTGCCTAGGAGATCAATAAAAAATAATTAGGTAATAGAATGGGCATAATGGACACTTTTGAGTTTATTGAAAATATTTGTGACTGAGAAATAAAATCGTCAGTTGAGGTCAGTCTGGACGCATCACGCAGAGAAAGAATTGCACTTTGCAAGGAAAAAATATCACGTTTCAACAATCTTTCAACGGATTTTTAACGATCACACGATAGAGTCAGCCATTTTTAATCATCAAATTTGTCAATTAAATCATGAATATTCAGCGTCGTTTAAATGATTATTTTTCTGAACATTCTTTGTTCATAAATAAATAATTGAGATTGTTTAAACTTCCAGAAACCTTAGGTTTTTGGGCATAAAATAGATTTTTGATAAGAGTGTGAATATGAAAAAATTTGTTAAGATTCCAAACAAATGATTTTTATAGTGGAAAATTAATTGTTTATGAATTATTTATAGATAAGGCTCGTGATTTTCAAAAAGTTGCAATTTTTTAATTATTTCATCGATCTCCCTCCAAAATTAAACTTTCTAATTTTTTTCCAGATTTTTAAAATGTTTTTTAACGGCTCAATGACGAGATTTAAATTTAGACTTGCAAAGTTTAAATAATAAAATCATTGTAAAATGTCCGAAAACTTAGGGTCTGATGGAGTTGAGCCATGAAGACTCTGATATTCGACTACAAATGTAGAAAAGCATTTCACTCGAGGAAAAATAGCCAAAGTACTTGGATATCCTTAATTAGTATTTAAAAAAAGTCAAAAGTGTCCGTATTACCCCTCCACCCTATTTTTGATTTGATGTTCTCGAAGGAATCAGGCGCTTTGGAGAAAATAACAACAACGTTGATTAGATTATCAAAAAATGCGATGTTGAATTATTTTAGCTTCCTCATTCTTTTGATGTAATCAACATCTAGTTATGTTATTTTCCTGCTTGTTGCTGTTGTTGCACATGAGGTGTGCAATGTGCGTGATAATTCCCAACAATAAAATCATTAAAAATACCATGACTAAATTGATTACGTCAAGATCGGTTAAAACCGGTTCAAGTCGATTTAGCCCTTGGCTGAGTTTTTTAGGAGTATCTCCGAATCTAAGAGAGATACCCAAATTTTCGTAATAACCTTTTTTGTAGAGGGAATTGAGGGCTACAAGAAAGGTCATAACAAATATTTTGCTATCTCCCTTAGATTTCGAGATGTTCACTAAAAACTGGCCAATAGTCAAAATACGTTATTTTCTCCAAATCCTTCACTATAGTTATTCTTGAATTTTTGGGGAAATGTTACTTTGCAGTGGATAGCTATGGCTCCATCACTGTTCTCCGCCAGTTTCAGGAATTTATGCATGATTTTTCTGGAGGGAATGCTGCCATCGGGTAGAAATAACTCACAATGGGAAATTCCGTGTTTTGTGAATCTGAAAAGTGTAAATTAATTTTCCCGATGTTTTTTCTGGGGAAAAATTCTGATTGAGGGGTACCTGGAGGCATCGTAGGATTCTCTGTTCAATCTGACGACGGTTTTCACTCCATTCTTCAAGAAATACTCTATGTAGTGTTCAGGGGGATGATAGGGGCTTCCGGGTTCAGTGCTAGGGCCAATGAACGCTAGAAATTTCTGGGGAACTATCCAGTTTAGATCTCCGTGCTTCAGCTGGTGGTATTTCTCGTACTCCGAGATGTCGAAGTCCTCGAAGTTGAAGAAACCGAAGGTTGCTGCTGTGTACAGGGCGTTCAGGCAGTCTAGGGTAGGGAAAGGGGGATAAACAGTGCTGCATTGAATTAATTAATCGTCTGGGCACCTTGGAGACGAATCGTGTAGGGAGATCTGCCCATCGAGGCATCCTGGAAGTTCTTGAACTGGCGCTGATTGTTTCCATTCATCAGGAGCCTATACGCGTGCTTCGGACTCATTTGTAAGTGCAGAATTGCGTATGAGGCGACTAGAAATGCAGCATTCGATTTTTTTTCTTCATCATCGGTTGTGTAATGAACGACATTTCGCAGATAATTGCGAGGATTATTGAATATGTGATTCAGCTTCCAGCAATATCTATTGGAATCAGTAATTTATTCTCTAACTCGTAGTGACTGGAATTTAGAAGAAGGTGGGGCACAATGGACACTTGATTTTTTAAAATATTCACAACTCAGAAAGAAAAATTATACCGTTTCGTCAAGTGTTCAATGATTTATTAACATTAAAAAAATAGTTCCATTCTCCCCTAATCATCAGCAATTAGAATGAATGTAGTTACTTGTACAAACAGGCGAGATTCAACGGTCCGAAGTCATTGTAAAAATTATTATAAATCAGTTCATCGTCAATGCTGAAGAAATAAATATCAGCAGCAGCTCTAGGCTCTCGCTTCCCCGGAAGCAACGTGGCGAAGTAGAATTTATTATTAATGAACTCTGTTATCAGACAGATGTCTGGATGGTAGGAGACACTATCCTGATGATACTCCATTTCTTTTCTTGTGAATACTCAATGAATTTATGATCAATATTAAAACCCCAGATTTATTCCTCAGACTGTTAATTTATAGCTGAAAGACTGAAAGTTAACGAGGGATTTTCGTGCCAAAATAAAAAAACTTCAATTCATCTGCTCACTTCACATGATTGGAGATGTAAACCACTTGTTTATTCCATTCTCTTATGTTTTTATTTTACTCAATCTACGGGGGAAGAGGATTGGAATAAATTCACAGTTTCATGGATTGTATATTCTTATTATTATTAATTAAAAGTCAAACGAGAATACAATGCAATCATTTACGTACGTGTTACGATGAATATTTCATAGCACTAAAGTTCATAATTTTTTTATCATGGGAAACATTTTCATTCGAAAGCTAGCTTCAATCGTTTTTATTTAAATTTTCTTTAATAAATAGATTCTGTCGTTTACCTATACACATACCTAGCGATAAGATATGATTACTATGAGGGAAAAACAAATTGTAGGGAGTGAATTTCAGGATAATTACAAATTTATCAATTTTATCCTCAAAACTCGAGCTCCCCTTGAAGCTGGCCATTTTTGCATTACACTTTTCTCATCAATTCTGTGCAACGCTTGAATATAAAAGAATAAATAAATCAATAAGTCTGAAAGAAAGAGATAAGGCTAGAATAGAGAGAAAAATGAAAAGGGAGACAGGAGCTGGAAATACTTTGTCTGTCGAACCTGAGCACAATATTTATAAACTTCAGGTAAATCCTCAAAGTCCCAGCATACTTGACCCATTATTTGGTATAATTGCATTTGAATATCAATCTTCCAATGGAAAATGCCCTTACGTTTAAGTACGTCTATTTACATATAATTTTATTAGTTCATCCACTTTTCACGATAAAATATAAATTGAATAGTTCGACTCTTTATTGCTCCACGTATAGTTCACATCCTAAGTCAAAATTATCAACTGAAATTGAGTTTAAAATTTTTTTTATTCAATCAAAATAATATTTCCCATACATTAAGTAGGCTTATATAAACAATAATTTTCGATAATTAATTCACCAATGATTTTTCTACATTTCATATCTTACGGTGGGCTTGAAACACTTTAATTTACGTGGAGAATTACCGTGAGAATATCCTTAAAATATATTCACAAATCGATTATTCTTAATCGTAAAAACGCACCCTAAATTGCAGCTCTTAATAATTAATGATAATGGGGCTAATTTATTGAACAAAATAGAAGTTTCATGGCTATAATAATTCATATATATTCGTTGTTAACACGTTTTCTCATTGTTTTCATCTCTATCTTTGGATTTTTCAGTACAACTCAGCGTTCTCGCATCCCCATATGACGAAAATCAATCATATTGATTAATTAAAAGATAATTGATCCTCGTCACGTGTTGACTTAATGATTAAATGCTTAAGAAAATCGTACGTGTAATTGAGAATCATAAAAGTTTAATTAATCTACACTTTTCAAACATTCTCTTAGTTCATTAAATTATCCTCACTTGCGTGTACAAGTTACACGTTTTTTTTCCACCTAAATTCTATCCCTAATAACTGAATTATTTACAAACTCATGATCGAGAATTTGAATCCAACAGAAAAGTAAATGAAGTAATAAACAGTACGGGATTGATAAAATATTAGGCACAACCAATGAATGTAAATGAAAATCGACGAAAAGTGCATAAACGCGATGGATTACAAAGGCTAAAGATCCCTCCTTTTTTCATTTATTGAATAAAAATAAAATTCTGTTTTTTTTTCGTAAAAGAAGAAATCAGCCACGCCTTTCATAGCGTTTTGTCTGTCGAAATTCAACTCTAATCATAATTACTCCTCTACAATCAATATTTCAATGCCCAGGGTGCTCCAACGAGTCGATTTTATCATGCTAAAATCGTTTATCTCGAGGGATTAAGTAGATTCTGTAAGGCACGATCGTGAACTTGATGGGAAACCGTGATTTCACCTGGGAATTACACCTAACGATTAGTTAATTTTTTTAAACCTTTGTACAACGTTTTATCTTACGTTTTGTTATCTTCAAACTCTACTTTCAACTCATCACTCTTCACTCGTGACTTCTATTAACCCCAAGAAGTTTGGCTGCATCGTCAGCAGAGGCCTGGAGAACCTTGTCAATGATACTTTTATCTCTGATGCCAAGTAAATTGGAGATCAGATCATTGTCGTTGTCCGGCGTTGATTCGGAGCCAAAGTTCTGGGCATTGGCCAGTTTACCTGTCAGTGTGGCCAGTTTTTCGTAGGGATTGAATCTCATCAGGCTGTTGGGGGCTGCGTCGCCAGTGGCGATTGTCGCCACTGTAGGCAGGGAGATCCTTTCCCTTATTCTGGAGTCTCCAGTGGTGACCGAGATGAGGGGAGTTTGTTGGGTCCTCGGCGTTATCGTTGGTGGCTGGATGGGGGCTGATTCCTCATCCCCACTCGTGCCCACGTACATCGTGGAGTCAACTGACTCGTGCTTCTTGCGGTGGCGCAGCATGCTGTGCTTCAGGGTGAAACGCCGGGAGCAGATGTCGCAGGAGAAGGGACGCTCGCCGGTGTGGGTGCGCATGTGGCGACGAAGGTCCTCGGCTGACCAGAAACGACGCATGCAGAAGGCACAGACGACTTTTCGGTTGCTGTAATCGGGGAATCTGCCGCGTTTCTCCTCTCCGTCGCTGTGGTGCGACTGGGGTGGCGGTGGCTGTTGCTCCTCGGGGTTCTCAGTGTCCATGTCAAGGGCTCCCTTGGCCAGCAGCATCTCGTAGGAGCGTTTGTGGTTCTCCTTGATGTGCTCCAAGCAGTCTTGGCGCTCGGCAAATCCACTGTCGCAGAGGTGACACTTGAAGGGGGCGTCTGTCGGCCCTGGGGAGGCACGTGGCGATGGTCTCCTCGATCTTGGGGTTTCGTTGGCTGATGACGACGTGTTGAGGGTCGATTTGACGGCTTCAACGGGTGCAGCTGACTGCTCCAGATTCTCGGAGACACTTGACGATTGACTCTCGTAGCCACTCTGGTCGTTTTGCTTGCTCGTTGGCACCGGACTGTTTTGTCTCTCTGAATGCGCCTCGCTCATGGGACTCGAGGGTCTCGACTTCTCCTCGTGGGAGTGCTTGGTTGACCTGTGCTTCTTGAGATTGCCGAGGGTTGAGAAAGTGGAACTCGGGCATTGGTTGCATTTGTAGGGCCGCTCGGGCACGTTTCGCATGGAGAATGTGCCGTTGTTGTTTGTGGGGACCTCTTGGGCCTCTGGGGACGATGAGTTTCTGATTCTTCTCATCTTGTTGGGGTTCGCCTTGTGCTTCCTCAAGAGGTGACGGTCGCAGTTGGATTTCGTGGTGAAGAGGAGGGAGCAGTGGACACACTGGTAGGGCTTCTGACCGGTGTGGGTGAGAATGTGTCTTCGCAATGATGATGTCCAGGGAAATGGGCGCTCGCAGTACGGGCAGATCACTCGGTTCGGCGCCATTGAGTAAGCCGACTTCTTCTTCTTCTTTTTCTTCTTTCTCTTTAGTTTCTTCAGCTTCGAGCACGACGAGTGGCCAGAGTTGGCGGAATTCACCGAGTCGGATTTCTCGTCGCTTCCGGAATTGTTGCAGTCGCTGGTTGAGGCGACCAAGCCTTCTTCGTCGCTCATGTACTGCGGCTGGAATTGCTGGTATTGCTGTGACGCATTGTCCAGTAGCTCTGACACACTCGCCAGGTCGGCGTTTCCGTCTTCTGCTTTGATACTCGGTTTATCGGGCGTCTCCTCGTTGTCTGGAGGTTTGGGTTTAGAGTCGTTGGGCTCTTCTGGCTCTGACTTTATCTTCATGTCTACTGGATCTTGGTCCATTGGCGTTTCGCAGCTCGAGGGGGGCTCGATCACTTCCCTGTTGGAATCCCTTGCACTCTCCTCCAGTTTTCCCCTCAGCAGGCTGATTGGCCTCTCCTCCTCGTGGCTCTCCGATCCTTTATCAGCACCCTCGTCGATTATCAACTCTTCGTCAGTGTCGTTATCCTCGTGCTTGTTGCCCTTCAGCTGCTGCGCGAGAATCGCGTACTTCACCTGATCCGAGATGGCGTGTTTACCGTATTCAGTAGACTGCCCCATTTTCGGTAGGATGTTGGGGTAAGCTGGCTGGAGGGGCTGACTTGAGTGATTCATGCCGTGTAACAGGGACGAGGGGTTTGTCGGTGGTCGCCCTCTTGTCGAATGCCCCCCACGAGGTCTCTGGCTCCAGTGCTGGGGATGCTGCTGCTTTATGTGTCTCTCCATGTTGCTCCTCAGGGTGAATCTCGCAGAGCAATGCTCACAGCTGAAGGGCTTCTCAGTTCTGTACCTCCTCTGCTTCTGCTTGGGCATCAGCACTCCATTCTTTATCACCATCTTCACGGAATTTGATGTGGGCGTTGTGTCCATCTTCTCTCGTGGGCTTGCAACCTTGCTGACGACTTTGGACGTCATCATCTTGGAGTAGTCGCTCTGCTCCTCGTGGGATCGGGGGGGCAAGTCTCGCCCCTGGGGGTAGCCAGCTGGGAAACTGGCGTTGTTGAGTGGCGGCTCCACCAGAGTTCCTCCACTCGTCAGCTGAAGACCTCTCACAAGCTCCTTCTGCAGTCTATCTCTCATGGCAAAGTCCTGGCCGAAAAGGTGGGGGTTGAACAGGTAAGGCGGCAGAATTCCTCCCCCAACTCCGGTCCCTGGGAATCCACCGAAGTTTCGGTAGAGCAGGTGAGCGTTTGCGTAGAGCGCCTCCAGGGAACTCGGGGAATTACCGGATTGACCGGCCTTGAGGAGGGCCTGCGTCAAGAGGAGTTGATTCGTCGCTGACTCGTACATGTCCTTTTGGCTCTTATCGAAGTCATCGGTCGTCGACAGATCGGCCCCGTTGTCCTTGGATTTTTTACTCAAATCGAGAACGTCCATCGACAGATCCAGTGGTGCATCGTCACCCGTTGGGGTACTCTTCAGGTCAATTGGACTAGCCTGAGCTCTTTGGTGTGCGTCGGTTTTGGCATCGCTGACTAGTGATGCGCTGTCGTCGGACGATCTCGAGTCCTCCTCCTGCATTCTCGAGTAGTTTGACTTTGTGAAGTCCTGGGGGTTCTCCGAGTCCTCGGAAATTCTGTGGGACAGCTCTAGCAGGTGCATCGGTGGGGGCCTTGAGAACACGTCGGACTTCTCGTAGTGACTGACTGGGGTCGCTCGCATCGATGCCAACTGGCGCAGTCTCACCTCGTCGGCGATGAGATCGGAGTGTCTGGTGTTGAGGGGATAGTGTGGCTGGGAGTGAAGCTCTTCCCTGTCGGGGTAGACTAGAGATTTGCGGGCGTCGTCTCTGATGGCTCTTGGGGATGTTCTGTCGAGGCCCTCGTTGGCTGCGTCCTCACTCGCGTGGTAGATGAGAACACTCTTTATCTCCTCTCTGGTCATGATCTTGTGGCCGTTCTTCACGTGCCTCTCGCAGTTGGCTTTCGTCGTGAAGGCGTACTTGCAGAGGGAGCACTGGTAGGGGCGAACCCCGTTGTGGGACTTGAGGTGGCGACTCAGGGCTGCCTTGTCCGTTGACGTGAAGGGACAGACGTTGCAGGGGTAGGGCATGCCTGGGCCGACTCCCATGTGCTCCTTGTGGTGTCCCTTCAGGGCTCGCAGATTCGGGAATATGGCGCTGCAGAGTCTACACGGGAATTCACCCTTGAGCTTCATCTTCCTCAGTTCAGCGGAAAATGCGTCTTGAGCCTCTTCTTCATTATTCTCGGATGACGTAGTCCCCGAAGACCCCGAGGAATTGACATTTGGATTCATCTTGATGTGTTGGTCGGGGGTGCTGGCATCTGATCGGGGGAATATTGGGCCAGACGTCACGGAGATTATGCTCTGAATGTCAGCAAGGTCTTTTCCCTCCTTCGCCTCGGTCATTGCTGCTTTGTTCTGGAGGTCTAGCCCAGCGAAGAAGTCGTTTCTTTTTGAATGATCTTCACCCACTTGGGAGGCTTGATAGTGCGGGGTTCCGCAGTCCATTTCGTGGGCCTCGAGGGCCGATTTACAGGGGAATGCACGCAGGCATTTTGAGCATTGGAATGTTGCACTCTCTCCGGATGCCGGACGGTGGAGAGATTGCTCGCAGACTGCTCTGGCTATTGCGGGGAATTTGTCTGCTGAGAAGTCGACGAAGGTCAAGTCGTTGAAGCCTATTACAGAGTTTCGAAGGTGTCGCGGGGGTGCTGAGGTGTCGGTGAAGTGGACCATGAATCTGTGGAGATTCAGGACTCGATGGTTCTTGAAGGATCTGTTGCATGTGTCACATTCCGCTGTGTAGTCCGGGTGATTCTTCTCTAGGTGGGCCTCCAGGAGAGCGCCCGTGGGGAAGTCCAGGGAGGGACACACTGGACACATGAAATTCTGGAGAATATTCTTGCCGTCGATTCGCGAATTATTCAGCAGAATCTTGTGCCTCCTCTGGATCTCGATGTCGTCCGGAAAGTCCGGCCTCTTTCGCTTTGATCGAGACGCCGGTGACGCCGGATCCACTAGGTCTGGTGAACTGCGTTTAGCTATTTCATTGTTGTTGTACTCGTCTACGTGTCGCCTCGTTGCCGGCCTCTCCGAGTCACTGCTGCCTTCGGAATCCGTGTAACTGTGGGGCGACACTTCACGATGCGCCGTTCGCAAGTGTCTATTCATATTTCCATTTGTTGTGAATGCCATGTCGCAGTATTTGCACTTGAATGGACGCTCACCAGAGTGTACCAGTACGTGACGGTCCAGGGAACTCGCGGAGCTCAGAACTTTGTGGCATATAGCGCAGGAGTAGTCCTCCTCACCACTGTAGTCGGTACTGCGGGGGGAATTGTGACCCCGAAGGTGATTTGTCAGGTCACGGGACGATGTTAGCACGAGGGGGCAGGCAGGACAGGGGTAAGAGCCCTCCAATTGTTCAACCTGAAATTATTGATGATTTTTAGGGCTCATTCGTGTCAATTCAGTAGCGAAGCGGTAAAACAGTTTAGGTCGATTGAACTGTCGTCTGAGCTTTTGAGGAATATCTCGGAATCTAAGGGAGATGACGAAATTTTTGTAATGACCTTTTTTGTAGAGCGAATTGAGTGCTATGGAAAAGGTCATGTCAACAATTTTGCCATCTCCCGTAGATTCTGAGATATTTATTAAAAACTGGGAAATAGTTCAAATTGACTTAAAATACTGAATTTCAATCGTTAATTGACGTAATATTTTTGTTTTTCGTTGATAAAACGTGAATGTGGAACGGAATATTTGGGGGCTTGCAACAGGAATTATGAAGTACTGAGGGTTAAATTTAAAAATGAAATGTAATCATGAATGCAAAAAAACGTGGATGTTGTTTCTCTTTGACTTACCGATGAAGTTGATGCGGCATCGGTCTGTGTTTCACTACTGTGTCGTTGGTCCGGACTATTCTCGATGGTCACTGAAAATATAAAATATCCTCTTTAGCTCGTGGTTAACGTCACAGGGAAGGATGCGATGCGGTTTCATATGGAGCAAATCATGTTTTTTTCCCGCTACTCAACTCCGCTGAGACGTGACTAGACGTTTTACATATATAGTTTCACTTCATGATTTCCAAAATTCATATCTTTTTTTATCTTGTATTAATACTTAATGATGTATCTGGTATGTTGTGGGGGGGACGAGAGAGAAAGGGAGAGAGAGAGATTTCTCGCGTCTTTGACACTCGATCATTAGTAGATAGCGAAGAAGAAAAGACGAAATGATAAGAGAAAATACACGGGACATTATCCCGAGGCGAGTATCAACTTTCGTTATCTGAGGGAAAACCGACGGAGACACTGGATTAAGTCTTTATTTCACTTGGCAATGGTCAGAATGACTTCTCTTGTTCCAGAGGTGATAAAAACCATAAAAAATAAATAAATTGAATGGATTTCGAAGCAGTCATTAACATCTAGAATGAAGCTGTGGAAGCTGAAATGACGTGTACCGGAAGTCTCGACTCTTTTAGGATGTATAACTCAAAGTTGGGACAACAATATGCTTTATCAAGTGACCTCGGTAGCATTCTCAAACCACAAAACGGATGAGAGAGAGGCGAGAATTTTTAATTCACAAACACTGAATATTCCATCTTTGATTTGAAAAACCGAGAGTATTGTAATCTACCTGAGCATTCTCACGTAGCTATCCACGTTATCGATCGCCTAGTAGCGGGAAACACGAGAGACAAAACACCTCGAGCTAATCGATAGCATGAGCCGTCATCAATTATTCCCCCACTATCAGCAGTTTGAAAATCTTGAGAGATTACTCGAGAGGAAAATTTTATTCTCATAAAAGAGAAACGAGTGGGAGCAAAATTTTCTAGAAAAAATCAAGTGCTAAGGACCAAAGCGATTGCGCAGTAGCAGAAATATTCTCGTGCGACACGAAAAATATTGTAGTGCCCTCAGCAATTTTTCTGTTGCTGCAAAATAATTTTTCTGGTGTAGCGTGTACTGTTGAAAATTTTCGGCTCAATTTCCCGTGCCAAAGTCGGAAATTTTTATCGTGTTCAAGTTCCACTGAAATTTCAGGAAATCTTATCATTGAAAAATCAAATAAAATTAAATATTCCATTTTCTGTTCAAATGATCTGGAAATCAATAAAATACCTGATTTTTTAGTTCAATTGTTCTGTGAAAATTCAAAAAAATCAGGAAAATTCTGGGAAAAACTGAAAATTCATTTCATTTTGTTTCTGAATATTTATGTTCCACTGAAAACTCATGAATTTCCGTAAATTCTAGTTAAACTTTAAATTTCATAACCATTTTTTCCTAAATTCGATTCAATGTCATTCTCATGAAATTTACTATAATATCTTCCATGCAATTCCGAAAAATTTCCAATAGTGTGACAATTCCTCTGATGATACATAATCGTTTTTCCAAGTGTGCAAATTGTGACTCGTTTATGGTGTTAGCACATTGATTTTTCTGGAAAATTTTTCTTAGCGCCTTCCGTATTTTTTCACCCTATATCGGGGAAATTTAATGATCGTGAAGGTAATTTGTGCCGAAACTAAAATTTACCGTCTATTCCATCAAAAATTATCCCAGTGAACGTGAATGATTGCTCAATATTACGTAACGGAAATTTTCCTGTAACGGAGAATGATTTTTTACCGAACGCGTTCGGTAAAATTTCACTTCCATTCGTCCCCATGACCTTCAGTCACTACCCATCGGCTATTTTTCCTTCGGTTATTTTCTCGTACACTCGTCGAGTTGAATAGATATCAGATGAGACCTATCACCGATGGAATTGTGTAAAATTCAATTGAGAGATGGGGGAAATGCATTTTTTATTTGAGCTCCAGGCTCTTTGATGCCGCACAGGTGGTAGTGTAATCGTTAGCAGGTGATTTTATTCATGCGCGTGAATCATGCACACGAACCCGCGCGGGGGGACAACTCGCATCACCACCGTAATGCGCTCTTTTGCTTTATGGGAAAAAACTGGTTTGGCACGCGGGTAACACACGTTTGATATAAAACCACGCCTGTTGGATAGACGTGTTACTTGTGTACTCTTAAGTCGTGCGAAAAAATACTTGTACTGTGTATTTATTTACGTAAGTCACGCGTAATTCTATTCATGAATTTTCTCAATTTCTTTTGGTCTATTCGAGCAAATCACTGCGGAGTTTAAATTAGCGGAAAAGTCGATTTAGAAAAATCTAGAGGTCTACAAAACTCGTGATTGTTTCTCCTTTATGAACCCTCAAAAATCCCCTAAACTAAATAAAAGATGAAGTTTCCAGTACATTTTTCGGAAATTTTTATCACATTTTAGTTGCACTAGAATTTCAAACATCTTTGTCATTAAAAATTTGAAATTTCATGGAAAAATCAAGGAAAAATCAACGGTAAATTACTGTTCAATTATTCTCTGAAAGTTAATGAAAAACATAAAAATTCCGGTAAATATGTTCTTGAATTAATTAATTGAATTAATTGACAAAAATTGAATTGAAATAATTTAAAATTAATCGTAATTCGTCCCTAAATATTCATTATTTCGTTGAAAATTCAAGTAGATCGAGAGATTTTCATCTCAACGCTGTTCAAAAATTTGAAATTTCATCAAATCCTCAACGAAATTTGAAATTTCATAAAATTCCCTCCTAAAATCGCTGGTCCATAAAATTTCAATTATTTTCCAACAGCGCACTGATAATTCTCCAAATATATTTCCTCTTAATACTGAAATATTGCATGTCACGAGGGAATAAATCCCGAATTACCATAACGAATTCTCACACCTCACGAATGAAAAACCAAAAATTCCAATAGAGGCGCAAATAATAACCACAATAAAAATGTTAACAAACACGAGATGCGCGAACCTTGGATTAAACTGTTATCTCGTACGATGTATCTCGATAACCCTGGGTGGCCGGTGTGTTCGTGCACATGAACCTTGAAAGTGGAGCTCTGGTCTCGACGGAAGAGAAAATCCCGCGAACGTTACAATTCACCATCACAACCGTCGTAAAATGTGTACAAACACGTGGGTAATTTTGCCACCAAATGGTATAACTCCCTTTTGTGTTGGAATACAGTGCGATACGAAAGAAATCGCGGCATCCCATCTCGCGAGCATCTCATCGACGTCTTCCCCATGATATATATATTTTTTTTCTCTCGCTCATTCAGCTTTTGTTCCCACACTGGGGCAATCTCTTCCACAACGGATGAGAGTAAATCAGAGTGGAAAGAGAGATGAATTTGTGGTTTAATTAATGAGCCAACGTATCCGGTGAAATGTAAACCCATTGAATAAGTCACTCCACTCCCTTCTGCCCTTTTGAGCAGCAGTGGGTGGAGATTTACTGGTGATCATGCGCGCGAGTCTGTTGATCTCCAACCGATTGGATGCTGTGAATGTATCAAGTGGTGGGGATAATACTGGGAAGCTGGGGGCGTTACCATCGCCATCACCATTGGCTGAACTATCATCTGACTTTTTATCTCAGTAACTTTTTTCACCCACCCAATCCCCTTCCTTCGTTTCAACCACTAGGGAGCTTTATCATTGTCTCACTTACACTCTCATTCTACTTCCCGTGTACCTCGCAACGCCCCCTCCACTGGGGTTACACCCACATCGACGCGGAGGTTGTTGAAGAGAAGTTGGGAAGAAGGAAAAATGGCGGTTGAGAATATCCCGAGGGGGAATAACGTGTGGGGGCTTTTCGAGAGAACTGTAACCCTGACAACCTTGGAATTATCCATGCGTAAAGCCCTCGGGGCTCTACCAGCAGCCTGCTGGTTCTCATAGTTTTCGTTAAAAACTACTAGTTCAGAAGTTTATTACGGGTATGCGTTTTTTTTACTGTCGGACCTAGTTCAAAAGTTACATTCCTCGGGGGAGAGCTGCACTGGTAGAAATTTTTTGGAACTTCAGCCACAGCGGCATCTGAATTTTCGACGTGTGAATTTGAATTCAATTTCGATTGAAAACGCTCACGAAATTTTTTATTGATCTCGAAAATTTTAAAAAATTGGGCTTTTCATGGTAAACAATCTTTGATTTTTTAATGAAAGCTTGAATTTACAAATTCAAATACAATTTAATTTTTGGTAGATTGAGAATTCTGAAAAGTTGTTGCCTGAATTTTCAAAATTATTAATGTTTTTGGGCTGTATGAACCCGAAAATCGAGAATTACTTAAATATTCAATGGAAAAATATACAGAAATTTCATATAACTTTGTCGTTGTTAAAAATTTCGAACTTTTTCACTTGAAATTTCAGCACAGCGTCATCCGAATTTTCGATATTGTGAGGTTGAATTCATCTTCAAATGAAAGCGTTCGCTAAATTTCTCATTCATCTTGAAACTTGACCATCACATACAATTCCATTTTCAATAGCGTGAGAATTCCAAAAGTTATTGTCTGAATTTTCAAAATTTTCAAGGTTTTTCAGCGCCGTATGGACCTGAAAATCGAGAGTTAGGGTGGGGTAAAATGCACACTAGACTTTTTTTTTATTATTCATAACTCAGAAACAAATTGATCAATTGAGCTCAGTTTAGGTTCTTCACAAAGTAAAAGAATTGTTCTTTGTATTGAAAAAAAAAATTATTGAATTTTATGAACATTTCAAACCCTCATTAACATTTCAAAAAAAGTCAAAAGTGTCCGTTTCCCCCCCCCCCCGTGTATATTCGATAAATTAACTGATTCGTCAATCAAAAAATGTCCAGAAACTTCATGTACCCATGTCGTTAAAAATCCCAAGCTTTTCCCTGTAAATTTCAAGAGTTTTTTCTAACAGTGTGACGCCTCAAGGTGTCACTGAAGATGACACAGTTACGTCAGAGGTAAGAGGGTGATGTCAATCTAGTCGCGATATATATAGGTGAATAAGTTGAATCTACAGTGGGTAAAGGCATCACCAAGGTGGACGTTTCGCATTGGTGGATATCTATAAAGGTGAAAAATGTCATTGCAAATATATCTAGGGTCAGATACGTGGCCCAACCGAGTTGCTCCGCATGTACCCCGCGGGGTTATCGTGGCCTAGAGCCGGGTATAGACCTCTCAGGAAAACCTATAGACTTGGCTGTTTTTATGCTAATAATTTCTACCCCCGTTCGGGGGGGAATTACGAAGGTGGTGGACTGCGGGCGTTGGAGATTGAGACATTTTAAAATTTATTGTTTATTTTTGGTGGTTAAGAGGGACGAGGTTGGAGACCACTAGGTGGAGGTGCTCTCTTTCTTCGGGGGTTTGGTATTTAACGCGCACTCTGGGGCGCCCGGTGGATCCGCCCGACACGTCATCCTGATCAATCTGCTTCAGGGACATGTTCTCAGAGTTCTCGGGGTGGCGGTGGAGAGGGAGCGGTTCCTTTAAACACGCCACGCCCTTTTTCGCCGATAACTGGGTGTAATGCACGCAGTCACCCCCGTTTTTTCATTCATCTTTGGGGATGTGATTCATTTAATTGTGATTCGTTTAATTGAAACTAATCACGTGAGTTTAGTCATGACTTGAAATTATTTGTACACCCCTGAATTAGTTTCAGCTTCATCACATTATTGTCATCATCAGTCATGACGTGAAATTGAGAGGAAATATTTGGAGTAATAATTCCATTGGGGAATACAAAGCGATTCAATCGCTCTCTTTGAAGAAATGTTTTGGTCCTGAGAATTAATTTTATTTCTGACACGAAATGAATTCAAACGATTCACGAAACGAAATATCTGTTAACTATTAACTAATGGCTTTAATAGTTGAGAAGGTTCGAATACACGAAATGACGATTGTAGAGAAAAAAAATATTTCGACACGAGGTGTGGTGAGATAAGAAGGCGTCTTCGATTCTCTCGTTATCGCTGGACTCTGGGCTCCTGTTTTGTTCTACTCTCCATTCTCATTCCTCTCCCTCAACTTCTCGAGAAACCGAACTCGAGAGAAAACAGATTAGCCCCCCCCCCCGTCTACCACCCTTCTCATTTCCAAGAATGGTATTGCAATGAAGAGATGAATTCCTTTCTCTGTCATCAGCACGAAAATATTGACTCAAAACAATTCTCAATTTCCCGGATTTATCTCAATATCGATCTTCTTTGTTGTTACGATATGGCTATTCTCAGAAAATTCCACCACGAGAAAACAACTTTCAACATAATTGAGAATGAAATAACAAATGAATTAATTTGATGTTTCAACCAATTGGATCATTTGTTTTCAAAGCTGAATGAAGGAGGTCAGAGTCAGATGGGATTTCATCACACACCTCAAGGTACCTCGCTATCCAATCGAAATCGCGGGATGAATCACGCATCGGAGAATTGATGATCACCCGATCACGTTTATCAATACCAATAAAAAGTAAAAATACCACAAGCCAAGATTGATCTGTGTCTCATCGAACGCACCGCCCGAGCAATTTATAACTGATAAAAACTCACCTTTTGCGGAGCAATCCATGCCGGTTTGTCACCCGGGGGTCATTTAATCCACACGTCCATGTCACCATAAGTTCGTGACGTCAGTTGAAAAAATCTCAATGAAAAACCAATCACAAGACAATTCACTCCGAAGAACCACTCAAATCTTCACCTTTAAATCCCCCCCCAGATCACAGTAGAATGACTCGGGGGAAAAAAATTAAAGTCCACAGCACAGAGTTAAAATACGGTGAGTCTAGTCTCTCGAGGGACTCGTCAACGAGAAAAGGAGGCAATTTCACAAGGCACTTTATCCCAATTGTCCAAACATTTCGGAGCACACCGACTTTAGTGGTTAAAATCCAGTGGTGAAATGCGGGAGAATATTGTTATTACACCGAAACAAAAAAAAATTGTGCGATGATGTTGAGCGCACGACTCGCCGCAGTGAAGTGACTCCGGTGGCTCTGACAATTTCTCTCAACCTGCCTTTGGCTTCGGGCCCTCATCATCTCCCTACCCAGGTTGTCTTTCGTCTCCCTGGGTTTTATCCCCACCTCTCGCTGGCCACACTTTACCACCACCACCGGCAGTTTGGGTACAGTCTCCCGGAGATATTCTGCTGGGGTAGAGCCACTGGCTCACCACCCCCACCACACCGGCACAGTTTAACCATCGAGTGCTCCTGCTGCGTCGAGTAGTGATGGCCCGGTGGGCTCTTTCAAGCCACCCCCACCCTGATACCTGGTGGATCCAGCAGCAGCATCGGAGCGGTGGCCTATACCTTCTTGCACATTGGGCTTGTGTGTGGGCAGACACTCGCGTGTGTGTGTGTGCGGGTGATGAGGGGGATTTTTCGTTTGTGTGTGCGACAGCAATACACGTTACCCTAGCAGACCACGTATCCCTATCGTATGTTTCCATATATTTTTCAGGCTATCTCACTGTCTCTGTTCTCCTTCGTCTTCTATCTTTATCAATGTCCTCCTTAACATCGACCCGGGACTGTCAGACGTCGAAGGGTACATTTCTCTCGGCGTGTCACATTTTTTTTTCTCAATATCTCCGAATATCATTATTCTCGGTGGTGGTTGAGGTGGTGAAAAGGGGGAACTCGAGGAATAGTTGATGATGAATTCGGGGGCGAAATGGTAAAATAGGATAAGTGCAGTTTTTTTGGATAATTTTTCTATTGTTTTCATCGAAAGTTCTCGAGAACGCGGGCAAATTTTTGGAGTCTCCTGAAGAAGTTCATTGTTTGCAGTTATTAGTTTACCACTTCGCTGCCGAATTGGAAATGGTCTGAAGTTGATGGCGAGGGTGGAATTGTTTTGGGGAACTCTCAGTCGCTGTGGAAAGTCAACGAAATTGAGCTTTTCATGTTGAGCGGTTAAGGGTATATCAATAGAAGCGTGAGTTTTCAAACTCACTGGAAATTGAATGGTATATTCGATTGAATTCTCAATATTGACAGTAGATTGACAACTCCGAACAATAATTGTCTCAGTTTTTGATGTTTCCTGATTGTTATATTTTCTGAAATTTAAATTTTGTTTTCTCAATGTCTTCGAACAACTAATCTCTTCTCATTATTTTATTATTAGTTGACGAAAACATGAGATTTCATGGGTAGTCTGAAGTCTTAAAGCCCCGAATTTATATTTGATTTAGGGTCAAATCGTTCATGAAAATTCTGATTCATCTTGAAAGTTCAATGAAATTGAGCTTTTTGTGTTGAGCGGTTAATAATATTTAAATGGAAGCGTGAGTTTTCAAACGCATTCTGGAAAATGAACATTACATTCGACTGAATTTGATAATTTTCATTGTTGTATGGACCTGTAAATTGCAATGTTATTGAATATTTCAGAAATTGTACCATTTTTTCTCAATATTTTTAAAAAATTCATCTCTTGTCTCATTATTTTAATATGAGGTGATGTAAACATGGGATTTAATGGACAGTTTAAATGCTTAATGCTCCGAATTTGCATTTGATTTAGACTCAAATCGTCCATGGAAATTTTTATTCATATTGAAAGTTCAATGAAACTGAGCTTTTCAGGTTCAACGGTTATTGATATTTCAATGAAAGCCTGAGTTTTCTAACTCGTTTAGAAAATTGAACATTACATTCAATTGAATTATCAACAGATTGACAATTCAGAACAATATTAGCCTGAATTTTCCAGTAACTCGATTGAGAAATGGGTTATTATGGGTTATTTTGCCATAATTACTAATGACAAAATTAATTCAAATTGTTAGTGAAGTAGTAGTAAATATATTTGACAAAATACATTGACATTTCAGTGTAAATACCGCAATGAACAACTCAATTCATCAATCTAATCTATCACTTGTGTTATTTCAATTGAAAAATCATGATGAAAAAATCCTCCGCGAAATTGAAACTGCAAAAGACAGAGAAAATAAAAATAAGGAAGCACTTCACACATGTTAAACAAACGAGAATCATCCACCGAATGCGGTAAAACTCGGACACACAACAAATCACGCTCCTTCCGTCTGGCTGAGTTGTTGAGGGCCTTATCATATTAATCAATAATTATCCCAGTGCATTACATGAACACTGAGGCACGCGTACGATGTTGGGTGAGAGTAGTGAAAACTTATTAGCGGTCTAATGCTTCTCCTATTGTGCGAATGTTAACACATTTCTGTTGTTATATGTATCTCGGAGATATGCCCACAGCCGTCTCGTTAAATTCATGAGCCAGGATATATCTGTATTCGTAATTAATCGATTATTATTTCGAAATTACCCCCTTTTACAATGGGAAAGCACTGGTGCTATTGCAATAGTTATTGCGTGTTACACGTAATGAAATTGAAATGATTGAATTTAGAGAAACGATTCAGAGTTGAATGAAAGAAATCAATTATTTCGTCTTTATTAATTCATTTTGGTATTCAATCGACGGAAATTTGCAGTATTATTTTTGTAAATTTCACTTCCCCTCGTACAATAAAATTGAAATAATTGAATTTAGAGGAACAATTCAGAGTTGAATGAAAGAAAAAAATCATTTCGTCTGTATTAATTCATTCTCATATTCAGCCAAAGGAAATTTACAACATAATGTTTGTAAATTGAATTTAGATGAAAAATTCAAAGTGGAATTAAAGAAAACAATTATTTCGCCTTTATTAATTCATTCTCATTCAATCGAAAGAATTTTGTATCATTCTGTTAGTAAATTTCCATTTTCCCCGTACCTCGACGAGAAAAGTCATAAAACAGTAAAAATGTATTGGCAATAAAACGTCCACTGCAATCCCTTGAGTGCTCGGGGTTTTTTTCCTCTCCAAACGTGCTTTACCTGCCCAAACCGTACCCTCCCCCCAGCGCTTATTGACCCAAATTCCCGTCGAGTTTGCAACACAACTTATTACTCCTCAATAATAACCATTTATTGACCCAATTAATTCTCTGAATTTCGGTCTACGCCGTGACAAAAATGAATTACTACTCTCGCAGAATACATTTTGAGAATTCCCAACGGATTATAAGGGTTTGGACATTGTTCTCTGGACCCGCTTGAGTCATTCGGTGTCCGTATCTACCTGAAGATGACCCGCGATGACAAACGCCTGGACAAAGAGGAAGTCATCCCCGGAGTCACTGGATGGATATGCGTGAGGCGCGAAAGTTGTAACTTATGGCGAATTTTTCTACTTTATTCAATTATGAAACAGCCGGAGAGATAAAACATCGTGAAGGTTCTTCAGGGGGTTCATGGTGAATAGAATGATACCTGGGGCATACCTGGACGCCCATGCGCATATTAATTGAAATTGACCTGGCGCCTGCAGATGCATCAGAATGGGTCCAAAGGGTGCCTCATCCCCCTTTGAGTATTCCTGACCGTATGTTTTTGGTCATTAGATTTAGCAAAAACTGAATAACATAAATAATTGTTAAGACACTCGAGTCTCAACGGTTCGGCTGCTTACCTGAGCCCAAGGGTCTCGTGTATTTGGACACTGGGGCGGTGGAGATGAAAATAAAACCGAATTTGCATCAGCATTTTGTCTTCATGTTCAGTTGGTTGGGGAGACCGGGGCAAAATGGTCAGTGGGCTAAATGAAATCCCTGTCAAATTTGAGATTTTGCACAACTGATTGATTTTCCTACAGTTACTGATGACATACCCCGTTGTTAGTAGATTTAAAGTAGTATAAACATAACTCAGATTTCAAAGATTACTATCTGAAAAAATTGTAAACGGAAGTTAATAAGAATAGAAGCATTCTGGTTAAAATTTCAGCATTAAGACAAGACTTTCTCAACTTATTAGAATTTTCTACGAAAAAATGAATATTTAGGGTTAAATTACGCTGAATTTCCAATTAATTAAAAATTCAAGATTATATTTACCGAAATTTTCTTGATTTCTGTCAAGTTTCAGGGAATAATTGAACTTACATTCGCAGTTCTCATTGATTTTCCCATGAGATTCTGAATTTTCAATGAAGACATTTTTTTTAACTTCACTGGAACTAAAATGTGATAAAAATTCCCGGAAAGTGTATCGGAAATTTACAACCAAAAAATTTTCAAGAGTACAAAAAAAATCGAGTTATGATGAACAAAAATTCATAATTATACTTGTATGATCTGTTACACGACGTTACATCGAAGAAAACACTGGACTCATTTGTCTCGTTGAAAAAAAAAAAAAATACAGAGGCGTCTCATTTTGCCCCGGTCTCCTCTAATCTTATTGTCTCGACTGAGATGTCTCCGGATCTTCAGACGCGACTGTCGGAGCCGATCACGGAGACGTGGCTCACGTCGGGTTTCCCGAGAAGTTCATCAGAGCTAAATCGATCGCGTATACACTGTTACCGCCAAACTGGGACCCTAAATAGCCAAAGCCATAGGAGAGAACATGGTAAGTTTTATGGCCCGTAAGGATTCGCCTTCTTGACGCCCTGATTGCGGATTAGCACCACTCACTGACTGTCCTCTGGGTACCTCCCGTTGTGCCCTCTTTGGTATCCATACTTTTCGTTCTCAACCACTCGTTAATCCCCTCTATTGCATGCCTGGAGAGTTTATTATGGCAGGTAATATTTTCTGGAGTGAGTGCTGTCGTTTTCGGTTTTTAGGCCTTTCACGAATCTCTCATTGTTGCAGAGAAATAAATTTCGGGGTTCGGGAAGAATACTTCTCTGGAATTTTTTTTCTTTCATCTTGAAAAATTATGGCAGTTATTATTTTCTGGAGTGAGTGCTGACGTTTTGGGTTTTTAAGCTTTTCCCAAATTTCTCAGTTTTGCAGACATTTTTTTTCTGGTTTTTAAGGGTTTGAGGGTCAATCGTGTTTTAAAAATGTTATACGCTGATTTTACCATTAACCCTTAACTAGTTGCGCTTTTCGAGCATCTCACTTGCTCTACAGTGGCGACCTATAGGCTGCGTATGGTT